TCCCCGCTGAGCTGGGTTTCCAGGAAGTGAGGTGCAAGCTGATCCGCTTGTTTTCCGTTTTGCGGACTAGTTCTCTTTGAAGAATCCCAGAATGCATATCTACATGTACCTGTGTACATTGTGTTGACGGTCATGTATATATCCATACATGTGTGTGCTTTTGGATCCTGTTTCTGAAGATGATTTCAGAAACATGATCCGTGTCTAAAAATAAAGTCCTCCTTCTTGGCCAGTGGAGATAATCTGTATTGCTTCTCTCCACAGCTGTCAGATCACTATGAAGAAATCCACGTACAAAAAAAGTGTTGGGTTATTTTACGTCTAAACATTTATGTGATTTTGTGGATGTCAACCGGAAATTACTTTCCAGTCAAAACAATTAATGTTAATTATAAAAAGATGTGCACTGTTAGTGTGCCTAAGATAAGTGAATGCTTTGTCAACTTTTATTATTTTCTCTTTTTTGTATTTGGACATCGAATGTTTCAAATAAACTTTCACAAATTTAACTGTTCCTCTTAGGATTACAGTTTTGATTGATCATGACAGCCAATAAGTTTACTTATACTTCATACTCACGTAAGGCCTTACCAAAAATAAAAATGAAGCAAGCAGTGTCTCTCTTGGAAATTTTTCCACTAAAGGTCTCGTAACAGTCCATGTCACCTAGTTGAACATTTCACGTTTGACTTGTCAGCCTTTCTCTGTTTTTGTCCCACGTTTCTTGTTTGACAGCGTTTGAGATAGCAGTTTTGATTCAAGACATTGTTGGCCCCTTTCTTTGACCATCTGAAAAGAAGCCTTCATTTTCACAAAATGGTTTTTATCATCGAAAAATGAGAAATGTAACCAAATGATACATTGATCGATAAATTGAGGAACAGAAAATACTCAGAGGCTTGATATTGAAGATTGAATGGACTGTCCTGTAGTTAAACTGCATCGTTTCATTGTGAAGGACAGACACTCATCAGTTTTTTTCCCCTGCAATGTGCTCTTTACATGTTCCAGTTGGTTCCCATGGGGGTGGAGACGGCTATTATGGTTGATTTTGCTGCTTAGTTCCAAAACGGCTGCTTGGAGTTATATACCGGTGCTTCCCAGGGAGCTGAGATACATGTACATGTATTTGGAATGTTCCAGAGGCAGGGATGAGAAGGATGTGACATTTAACGTATGATTTTATTTCATAAGCTCCATTTCTAGTAAACGATTCAAAAGCGCTGTACAGGTCGGTATAATATTTTGAAAATATAAATGTGATCAAACATCGAAATTTCAAGAAGCAAGAGAATTATAGAAGAAAAAAACGATATCCAAAATGTAAGTAAACACTGATAAAATTAATAAGAAGCAACAAGATTACATAGAAAGCACCGACAGTATTGAAATATAAGTTACAGATTTCCATGATATATTAAATTGTAAAAGAAAAACATAACAATCGTAAAATTAATTAAAAAGACATACCGGGTATCTTAATCGCAACCTTGAACTCACTTTTATTTGTATTTCTCTTGACTTGGTGTAGCGAGGAGTTGAACAAAGTTTGTCCAACTATAACATTTTCTGCCTTTATTATAAGATTGAGGGGCATGAATGTCAAGTTTCAGAGTGTCGCGACAAAATAAGCCGTAGGCGTGACAAGACTTTCCGGTCAAGTCCATCAAATAGTCTGGAGCTTTTGTTGGTGCTCCAGATGTGGTGGATACCTGCACTTCATAAATACCCGTTTATATTTGGGAGTCAGGTTTTAGCGCAGCGATCCACCTCTGTGGCTTGGTTTGGAATCCCACCCAGGCTGACACGTAATTGGGTTAGCTCTCGCCCTACCTGATTCCATGGGTTTTCCCCAGACTACTCGGTATTTATCGAGGGTGTTCCTCCCACCCCTAAAACTGAACATTTGTTATTGCCTCACCTACACTGCGTTTACACTTGATCAGATCCGGATCAAAAATGTTTGTAAACGCAACGCAGGATCAGATCCTGATCCCGGGAAGGATCAGATCCGGTTCAGATCCCGTGCGTGGGATCAATTTGCAAGTGTAAATGCAACGCTGGGTCAGATCCAGATCAGATCCCGGAATTTGATGTAATTACATCCTGTGCAAGTCTTGAAGCAAGCGAAAAGCAAATCTGTGTCATCTTGAAGACCTACATGCATGTCATGTATAGTTACATGACATTATACACACACCATACATACGCTGTTGGTCCGGCCGCTACGTATAGTACATGTACATAACCAGCATTACACTTGTTCCTAATGAAGCCTGTGTGCTTTCCTCCTGTGAGTTGGTAGTAAACTGGTACTTGCCTATTCCCATGCTTTATCCGCGTCGCCTTTAGTGACTTTCGTTACTGCTGTATATCACTGATCCAAAACCTTCCATTTCCCCATTTTTCATCGTCTCATCTGAAACTAAATAAGATAAGACAACGAGACGTATATACAGCGCGTAAGTACACGTAATACTGGCTGACGTCTTGCTCCAGTCCGCGTAATCAGTGAACTGTTCGCATAACCTTTACCCTGAGGTTGCAGCGCTTCATCAGTGCCACGCGGGATCAGGATTCAGTGTCAACGCAGCACGGATCTGATCCCCTCGCTTGATTGCTCCTTTGTAGGGCCAAGTGTAAACGCGGTGCTAGGGAGTTTTACTCTGGTAGAAAGAAAGAATAAATACAATTATATAGATAAATTTAGTGCAGCTTGTTGTCCTCTGGTTTTGTGTACAAATTACAATCATATCCCTGTTGCAAACCACAGGAAGACACCAACTCTCATTATCTTCTGAAACTAGGGTTCAGTGACCCTCGGCCCTGTCTGATGATAAACATACTGACCAAACATTCAACCACAGCTGTATGTAATTGGATAGTATTGGCCAGCTGATACAGACCATGCTGCATGCCACAATTTACATTGGGGATCTAACTCCTTTAACAAAGGAACAAGTGTTGAAGGAATCCCTGTACAAACCATACCTGGGGGAGGGGGACCTTGTGAACCCAAAAAATGCAGGTTGTGCAAACCTTGTGTGGAGACAAGGATGAGATTTGTCAGGATCTTTCTGACGTCGGGATTTTTTTCATCAGGATTTTCTGGATTTTTGAAATAATTTTGTTTTTAATCTCTCAAATTCTCAGTTTACCAGCGAGGTGCTTTTTACATATCTAAATTGATATGGAACACAAGACATGGGTATTTTAAGGGGTTGTTTTTGACAAACAAATTGAAAGTGCGCGCATTGGTTCACGCGCGTGTCGTATTCACTTCGGTACTCTATACCAAAGACCCAATGCTTCTGTGGGGCCCTCAAATAGCCCAAACCTCCAGTGATTATTTTTGTAGATAGTTCAGGTTACTCTGCTCTCACCACTGGTGGACTGAGCCAGGCGTACATCAGATTACCCTCTGGGTTAGGATGCTCTGTTGCAAAATAGAGAGGAACAGGCGCAGAAACTCATCTGTCCGAAATCTAGCTTGAAATGGAATTCACAGTTTAAGAAAAATTAGTATTTTCAGCAGGTGTTCTTCGCTACACGAAAACAAAGGAGTGTCCACACTACGAGTACATGTAGGTCGGTAACACCAGTGGTATGTGTTTGTGTGTGAACTCTTGTGCTTGAGTATAACTGATTTCTTTTTGGGGGGGCATATTGAAGGCAGTTTTCTGATTTGATTGTTTTTTCAGCCACGATCTTCACATGATGGAATAGCCGATTGCCTTTCACTGTGTTGGGCCATACTTCCCACCCCCCAACTGCTGTGCAGATTAAAATGATTGATGGTAATAGCGTTCTGCCGGGGAGAAATGTTGCTTATCCTTTGGGCTTGGGTGACCTATCAGAGTTTCCAAAAGCAATGGTAAACTCCAATCGATGGGGCTCATGAAAACAAGCAGGGAGTTCAACTGGTATTCCCGTATTTTTTTCCCATTTGAGTCACAATCAAAAGTAGTGAAAATTCATGTGTGCGCAGACTGGCAATTGTGGACTCCACAAGTGCTGTGAGACACTGCTTGTCTGTGTTCAAGCCATCGTGTTTCCCGGTATGTACATGTACAACATATGCATGTCTCGTACTGGGTCAGTGTTTCTCACCCACATAGACCAGTGTACTGACACTGATTTCTTGAGACCGTTTGGCTTGTGTGCTGGGCTGACGCACGTCCAATTCAGAGAAATGCTTCCAACCGTCAACAGGGTGTCACATCATTTCTTTCAGGGAATCCGACCTGGTGTATGTGCACAGAAAGGGGAAAACTGTCTTGAAGAATCAACTTGATATAGTCTCAGGGGCAGGTTTAAGTCCATATCTCTTGTCATTCTGAATTTCTGTCAATGGTAACATTAATCAGTGAGTGCCGAAGTCATGAAGCATGGCACTGTAGATATTAATCATCACATGTGTGTACATGAAGAATACATGTACATGTACATACATGTAGCGGTGCAGGTGTACGGGAAGTCCAAAGAAACTACAGGTTGCAATTCCAGATGTTGGAATTTGTGGCTCCATAAAGTCTGGAATTTAAGAGGGTTAACAAGTCAGGTCTTGTTCCTTTTTTTGAACTCTGATAGAAAGTTGTAACCAAGTAATCTGTGCATCTACTGTATTGACTAATGTACATGTAGTAATGACCTCTGTTGACCCGCAGGTCCTACTCCTGCCGAACAGGAGTAGCTCACTCGAATGCAGCCCTTAGTCCCGGCTCAAACGTGCTCCAAGTTGGACTGTTTCCCAGTCCCTGTAGTCTGGATAAAAATAATAATGAGGATTGGGAGCCCCATCTCTACCTTTTATATAAAATGGCAGATCAAAAGCTGGTAACGGCAGAACAAAATTGATTATGTTATAACATTTTGTCAGAGCACTTTTTTGGTCTAATTTTGCACTCTGGTAGTACTTCCAGCCCCATAAGAAAGGTACGCATGTGTCCACATCTCTGCCGAGAAAATAATTGTGGAAATGGAATTTGCTTTGTATCAAGGCTCAAGACCAAGCTGAAGGAAGGCCCCGTTGATGGCCCCTCCAGCTTGAGGACCTACCGCGAGGACATCCGCCAGATCCTCTTCAAGGAGTTCCACAGTCCCATCAGCGACTTGGAGATTGGGGTGGTGGTACGCCAGGCCTTCCCCAGGCACAGCCGCAAAGGCAAGTACTACTTGGGGATCGGGACCTGCGATGCCGAGGATGCTGACGGGGCCTGCCGAAAGATTACAACCGACAACCCAAAGGTGCGTGAAAAGTGCAGCGTGACCGTGCAGCTGATATCTCAAATCTTGGCATAGCTTCGCAATATACGAAACCACAGATCTTGTGCCACAGCTGTGTAATGAACTTTCCCTCAACTTCTCAAAAATCTTTCTTAGCTGTGCACAATGCAAATTATTTTAAACTCTTGAACAAGGATGATCACTGCTTCCACAACCTTCATTCCTTTGCAGTGTTACAGTCAGTCACCCCGTACTTGCAAACCCCTTTGATTTAATCCCATTTTTAGAAAGTTTTCAGAGTATACTTTTAGGAATTTGGCTGGCAGGAGAGAAAATGCACAAACATATTGGCAAATGAACCTGTGAAATGATACCTATTTCCTCTAGGAACGGAAATGTTCACATATGCATTTTCAAGCAAAACCCAATGTACGCACAGTGTTCCCGCTGGGAATAAACTGGTTGTGTCTAACATGCAGAGCACAAGGAAGCTTGGCTTCAAACGTACCAATAGAAACAGGAAACAGTTCCCATCTGAGTGATAGTTTCCGCATTGTCGCTGGGTGAGGATCGGGCCCATGTGTCCACGAAGGAACGTGTTTGCTGGGAAATAATTGTACAAGCTGTCACCTTAGGGTTGGGGGAGGGGAGAACACCAAGTGTCAAAGGGTTATGTGTAAAGATCGTAGCTCAGGGATTGTTTCTGTGCGTCCTGGATTGTTGCCATGTTGGCATTTGATTGCCTGCTCAGTGACCTTATTTTATTTAGACATGTTACCATGGGACCGCTTCCGCCCGAGGAACACATTGTCAGAATGGCTGTTCTGCTCTTGATCTCAATGTTAAGCCTCAATGTTGCATTATGTGTGCATAATGCATTTTTAAAAGATTTTGCCGGCCTGATTTTGTCTTCTTTGGTGGTTCATTGTTGTGTAAGTAAATTTACATGTACATACCGGTAGCAATCAGCAAGCAGGCAACACTTCCATAGAGACATTTTCAATGAGTAAATTTCAATCCGTTTTTGCAGTCAGAATAGAAAAGCCTGTGCACTGAACCATGTATTCCCTGGATGACATCACAGTAATACTGCCCTCAGTTGTCCAAGTACGGATAACTTAAAATGTTTTTTAAAAAGTGCTCTTTTCAGTCCATTTAACCTGATGAGTGTTAAATTGCTTTCAAATATTGAAGAAGAGTATACTCTTGCAGAACAAAATGAGCCCCGAGCTGGACAGAACAAAATGAGCCCCGAGCTGGACAGAACAAAATGAGCCCCGAGCTGGACAGAACAAAATGAGCCCCGAGCTGGACAGAACAAAATGAGCCCCGAGCTGGACAGAACAAAATGAGCCCCGAGCTGGACAAAACAAAATGAGCCCCGAGCTGGACAGAACAAAATGAGCCCCGAGCTGGACAGGGTGCTTTTTTCCTAGCAACGGAGGCACCTTTGGTTGGAACTGCACTTCGCTGTTACAAAGTGCTATACATTACTTGAAACCGAGGAGCATTTCACTACTTTACAGTGCATGCATGGACTTGCAAGAGGACTTGCGATGGGCTCAACAGCCGTCACCTGGTACTTTGTCAACTTTTGTACATTGTACGGTGCATTTATATGTACACACCTATGTACTGGTACATGTATTCAAGTGGACATTACAAGTATCAGCGAATGGTGCTCTAGCTGACCAGTTCACAGCGAAGAGCAAAATTTGTGCACGATCGAATGCCCTTCACCAGTACATGTATCGGTATGTAGGGCCTACTATTACATGAACATCTCTGACCAGGCATCCAGGTACTCTGGCCATTCTTGGAATGTGCTCAATTCATTAAAGGTTGTCAGGAACACTGACAGGCTGTTGTGACTACATCTTCAACCGTTCTCTCAACTTTCGCCCATAGTTGGCAACTCAACAGCTCAAAGTGTCGTGGATTAATTGCCTTGATGCACAGTATTGCAACTTGAAAAGCTGACAGTTTTACCTGTAACCAGTGACTGAATGAATATGTGCATGTATTATAAACAGGAAAGGTTTCTCACATTTACTTGTCAATTTGGAAAGGACAATTTAGGTGACTGTTTGAAATTCAGTTCACGGTTGCTTTCTTTTGACATTGACATTGGTGAGCAGGTACATATTTGGAAATGTGGCACCTGTTTTTGTAGCATTGTCGGAGGAGGTTTTAGGCGCCCCGTTTAGTTTCATGTGTGTGGGTGTTATCAACCTCAGATTTCCAGGTCAAATGTGGAGTTCACTTGACTTTTTGTCTATTGCAGTCGATCTGTACATGCACAGTACATTTAGGCTGGAATATCCATCATATGAAATATGCCCTTTACAAAGACCAGGGGTGAAATTTCTCAGCTTTTCAGCTGATATCAGCTTTTTTGTGTGGGATTTCGGCTTTTTTTCCTCAATAGCTGTGTACAAAAGTATGGGAAATTTTCACAGTTCAGCTTCCTTGCGTATTTTTTCAGCTGTTTTCAGCAATTTTTATCATTGGTCAATCTCATCCACAGATCATGCCTGTGGTGGCTTGAGCCCCCGCAAGCCTGGCTGGCACAAAACCTGAATCCTGGTGTGCATCCTCCCCCTTTCCTTCCCACATTCTGTCAAAAGTACATGACCAGCCCTCGTTTCTTTCCTTATTAGAAGAAACTGTGCACAAAAATCGCTTAAATACAAAGCACTTGAGCTACAGTCATGACCTTTTGTGACTTTAACCTTATCCGCACTGGACTCTCTTTCTTTAAGGCTTACCAAGAAGGTGGGACCGGTACTTTTCCCATTTGAAAGTCCAGTGCAGACAGCCTGGAACATTGTCCTCTTATTGGCTGTTTCGGACTCCAGTGGTCTCTTCTACTGGCCAGTTGCGGCCCAGGAAGACCGACCAGATACGCGTAAGTTGTCCCCAGGCGATAAGTACTCTGTGGAAAGATCAAGTCAGTAAAGCAGTGTACATCTGGCCTGTGCGAGTGTGAGGTTACATGTACATGCATGCCGCACACGGACGCCGTGTGTTCTCTTTGGCATATGTGGCACGTTTCCAGTGCGTTGCTCCATTTTTCAGTCTCAGTCATGGCCGATGTCATTATCGATCGGTCGGAAGTTTGACAGTGCATCATTCCCAGATGATGAAGGACATCGACGTCGTGTCTTACGATGAAAGAAAATCCTGACATGCGGGTAAATGTAGAAATGCCACACAAAGCACCCGCATGAGTCATTATATTGACAGCTCATTTTTCATTATACCATTGTCTTGGTGAGATCTTCCTGAAAAAGTCCAGTGCCGGATGTGGTTTTAGTCACAACCACCGAGTGCCTTATGTACAAGGAGAGGCAAGTAGGACTGCACTCTGCTCTGGTTGGATTTGAATCCGCAGTGAGCAGAATGATCCAAACAATCTGAAGTTCATTATGCTCAAGGTGCGTTGCTGTTTGGGTCAGGATCCTTTTCTTTCAAAGTGTTACAATTTCTGGCTAATTGAGAGACTGTTGGTTGCACCATGAGAAACCTTTACTACTGGTAAAAAGCAGTGATGTGACAAAGTCATTTGTCAAGCCAAGAGTCCTTTTTTTAAAAAGTTCAAGTCAAGCCACAAGTCCCCAAATCATGTTTTCCTGAATTTCTTCAAAGTCAAGTCCCAAGACACAAGTCATTTTTTTGGCAAGCCAATCCGGTGTCATAACTGGCGTCGCCTTCTGACACATTTTCTCGCATCCTCTGCGAATGACGCAAGCCATGCTATTTTGCATCCCAGGTCTGACCCATCTGCCAGTTTTTGTCCCTCACAGTATCCAATCCTAAAGCACCAAATCACGGCTGACAGGTTCAAGCATCAAGCTTGCCGCTGTTCAACTCTGGCTGACATCTAAAAAAAAAAGCTAATCCCCATTTGTCCTGCGCATGCTCTAGAAAGTCCCAGAATTCTTTTGGAGATAGACGGTGTGCTGAACTTGAAGTTGGCTGACATCAAGCCCTTGTTGTAGCAAATGTCCCTCTTGTGGGTGCACCCTGGAAGTGTTGAAAAATAGAGGTTGTGGTTAGAGACGTCATACAATATATTCAATGTTTTGCTCAAATGACTCCTTCCAATCAGTATCTCTGGCATTTGGTTGTGGTATGTATATCAAAAGTAGGTCACCGTAACTTGCCCTTTTAGAAATTAAAATTTCAGCCTAATATAATAGCACCAGCAAAAGTGGTTAAAAAGAACTTAAAAAGAAAAACCACACAATATTTTAATGGAAAAAAAAATGCAACATTCTAATGGAGAAGAAAATTATGCACGGTTAAGGCAATTACTGTACCATTGCTGCACTTGATGACTCAAGCTTGTTAAGCTCCTGTGTACATACATTTACTACAGATGTGGTATATGTACATACATGTATGTTAGTTTACTGATATGTATGATAAATAACCGTAAAAGAGGATTAACTAGTGTAACCATCTTTTTTAACTTGTGGGTTGTTCAGACAGAGGATTGTCAGTGTTTCTGGAGATGGCTACCTTGGCTCCATCTGAAATAGATACAACTTGAGAGCAACTCACTTTACCTCCAGAGGTAGCTCTGAAACTATATTCAGCCCTGGTTCTAGTTTGTGGGGCTAGCTCTGCTTCCAGCTCAGTTGGGGTTTCTTTTGCGACCTAGCCCTGTCGGTTTCTTTGTCTTCGGAGCACAGCAGGCCTTGCCAGTCTTGACATGACCAACCAATGTTTGCCTTATTTTTGTGTCACGGAGGTCTATCTGTAGGCCATCCGGTGAACTTGCATGCCTGAATTGTCTTTAATTATTTTTGTTTTTGCGTGTAAATTAACTTTCAAAAACAGTCTGCTTGCCTCTTTTGTCACAGATGAAAAGCCAGTCCTTGCAAACCTCGCAAAAACACAAAAACAGTGCCTCCTCTGACTGGGTCCAATTCCAAGGAGGAAATGTAGAGGTTTCTAAGAAGTAAATTGTCAGTCAATTCACTTAATATGATGCAGTTCATGCATGTTTGCAGCCATAAGACAGGATGATAGACCATTCTTCCATGGATGTACCTGAAGCTCTACTTTAGCTCCAGCTCCAGAGTTACTGTCAAATGTGTGAACCAGAGCACATTTTGGACTTAGCTCCACAGAATCCCCACTGAGTTCAGGTTGAAGCTAGCTGAAAATGAGACCACCATTTGAACATCCATAATACATGCACCTGGTCACCCTTTGAGAAGAGCGATTATTTTGAACTTTTTTAAAACTGAGTCATGCCTATTAAATGTATGCGTTCTGTTATAATTCATTAGTTTCACTCAGGTGAATGACCCTCATCAGACTATAAAATTTCCGGGTGGCTCTCATGCATGTGCTAACGGTAAATTAGTGTGAAGTTTTCAATTTTGGCAGAAACAGGGAATTACACACACATACGTAATTATGCTTTTGTTGTTGACATTTGATTTTGAGGGGTGCGTAAATGAATTTGTCGCAGCTTAACATCCAGAAAAATACTTGGCCAGTTTTAAAACTGCTATCTTTAATGCGCGTCGTTTTCCGATGTTTTTAGCAATCAATTTGAAATTGGGTGTTGGAAATGTAGTTTGGAAAAATGCAAATACATGTATGCAGCTTAAGTTTCAACGTGTACAGTGTATGCACAACTATGCACAATACCAAAAAAATTAGTATTTGCCCAAGTTTTCTCAACTGTACGAAAGGAAAGGAATGTCCGCACTATGGAAGGTAAATGTGTTCAAGGTAAATACCGGTATGTTTCGGCAGGTGTTCATCACATCAAGGGGACAATTTCTTTTGTTTGGCAAATGAGGACCGAGTTGTGGGGACTTTTTTCTGTCCCCACAACATTTTCGGTCACCACAAAATGTGAGGACAAGTGTTTGTCCTCCTAACTGCAGAACAAGTACAGTTGGTGGCTAAGCGCTCTGGATGCACGGACAGGTGTGTTATGAGCAATAGTCCAGGGCTGGCTAGCGCCAACTCTGGGTAAGGGGACCTTGCAAGTGAGAATTGGTGAGGGAGTGAAGCACCTGGAGGAAGGATCATTTTTTTGGGGGGGGGAGCGAGACAAAGTAAAAGGTTTTGTCCTTTTCAGGACTGAAAGTTTCAGATTCTTTTCGATCTGTTTTCAATCTGAAAGTTAAATTATTCATGAAGTGCACTGGTATATTTGTCTGGAAAGGTTATTTGTGAACTTGACGTGAAATTCACAACTTAAGAAGACCCACGCGGGTGCGAGACTTGCAAGAACAACCTGAAATACGCATGCACGAGTCTCATGCTCAGTGTGTAAGGGGTTGGGAGCCAGGAGTGGCCATCTTAGATGCACCGGTACTCCGGTAAAAACATGTTATCACACTTGCAAGATACATGTACCAGTTGGGTAATGAGATCAAGGTGTTCATACCTACATGTACATGTATGGTGTTGATATGTACATGTACGTTGTACTCTGTGAACATGATATTATGTTGTACTGAGGTCATTGCTTCGTTTATGGCGCATGAGTCACGTGTGGTGAATGAATATTGAGAGCCCAGCCCCGCCATTTGGCCATGTACTTTTAGCTGTCATTGCTTGTCTATCAGTTGTGGGCCACTGGCGATAATTTACAATTAATACCAATTCTCTTGCACTTTTCATGTGAGGCAAATGGCATCCTTTGTACCACCACTTGCCCTAATGCATGTAAATCCTCCATCCGTTTCCATTCCAAGTTACATGTTCCTGTATGTGGTACAAAGGTAATGCGATGATTTGAGGAAGACGTTGCTGATCGTTTAGCGGCAAAAATCTGAGACCGGAATGGAAAGTTAATTTGAAAAAGGCACTGTGTTTGTCAATTTGTCACTTAGTACAGTAGTCCAGCATCTCACCTACAATCACAATCTTGCCAGTCAAAAATAATACACACGTACAGTACACTGCATGTACTCAGTACATGTATCATGAACATCTTCGAGTTTGAAATCTCCAAGTTCAAAAAGTAAACGATAGTCCTGTAGACACGAACGTATATTTTGGTACTTGTACTGGTATATTAAGGGCTGGATGTGTAAATGTATTTTGAACAAACAAAATTGAAAATCAATCTGCAGATTTTATGTTTGAACGGAACCTACATTGTGATGTTATGAACACGACCTGCATTAAGAGATTTTACAAACGCTCAGTGGAATAAAGCCAACCCTTTCGGAATGCGATTGACAGCTCTGTTGATCCAGGGGACAAAATGTACATGTACGGCTTGAGTTTTACAGTGTTTCTACATGCATGTATTTGGGTTCTGCCTCAGGTCACAGGTCTTTGAAGATGCCACTGGTTTATGGAAGAATTTCAAATTCAATAGGATAAAATAACATTGGAAATAGCTTTGCAACCTGACTGTGGTAAATGTGGTAGGTAATTTTCAAGGCTCCATGTGACAATTTTTTCTTTTTAAGCAATTTACTCTTCTACGAAACTTACTACGAGCGTTTCACAAAAGTGCGCCACCAAGAATTTACAATGCATTGGCCAATCATGATACGCGAAAGGTATCAACCCATTCAAACACGCATTGTGTGCAGTGGTCACTGCGTTGCAAACTCATGGCAGCGCACTGTAGACCTTTTCCCTGTGATGTCACAATCATGCTGGACCCGCAATGTGTTGTGATGGTAATGTGTGCGTAGTGCTGTGATGGTAATCTACTTATTCAAGATGAAAACTTGTCAAGCATGCAGTGTTCACACATGCGCTTGTATGTGGTTGAAGCTGCCCATAGGAATATATGCAATCACCGTGGTCACGGCGGTCCACAAGTGGTGGTATTGTTTACATGTAGCGCAATCCAGTCACATGGGTGAAAAAGGGCTATTGTGAGATGCCCGCAGTCAACATCTTTTTAAAACACTAAAACTGCTGATGCCTTTCTGGACTACTGAGGGCGCTTCCATTGTGATGTCATTCAGGCAAGACAGTGTTCAGTTTCCTATAAATGTTTTCTTGTTTTTAAATTTTGAACCCAAAATGTGCTACATGTAACTGAAAGAAAGAAGAGAATTGTGAGAAAGGGTTAGTGAGGTGTACTTGTACAACGGTAAGTCACCAAAGACAAGGAAAAAGCAAAGTATTAAACATTTCTGCATTTATTTGCCTATGACAGCATAGTTTGTTCATGAATTTGAAAATTTGCACCATACAAGTCAATAAAAGCACTAAAGTCCAAATTGAAATGGCTAAACAGAAACTGAAATTAAAACTGGAACACTTACAAGGACTGTACCAAACCAAAAATGGCATTGCATTGACACGGTAAGGTTTCTTGGTCCCTTTTTTGGTCAGCTCCTTCCGTAAGTGCAGTAGAAAGTGAGTGTGATCACGTGGAAGTGAGCAGAGTGCCAGCACCAAAAATAAGCAGCGAGATTGACGAGGAAGGAAATTTCAGTGTTATGTGTGCGTGGGCGGGGGAATACCCTTGGTCAGTTGAGGATCTTGGGAAAACCCGCCCACTCAAAGTTAAGTGATAGCTCAGTTGTGGACATGTGCGAACTTCAGCGTTGCCTTGACACGGTGTCGTGGGAACGGGAATACAATGTAGTGACCTTCTAGTTCCTCAAGAGAAGCAGCTCAATCACTGAGTAGCTCCGGGGAAAAATTGACAGGTTTGGAAACTTTTGGTCACTCAAAATGTTCGATTTTCTTGTGCTGTTAGGAAGTTACTTGTGGCGTTTTGTCACGGAAAAAGTTCCTTCATAAACAGTTTTTGGTGTTTGTGTCACGTCTACATGTAATTACAGTCCTTCATCTTGAAGGTAAATCAGAAATTCTCTTTGAAAGCAGTGGAAAGTCCTTCAGATATTTAACTGTTATTTTAATGATTGAATATTGGATAAACATTTCACGTAGAGATTTATCATTAATAACACGTATACAAGTTTCTCTGCTGAGATACACATGCACACATATGTAAGATAAACTTTATATTATGTTTTACTTGGAACCTTTCAGAATTTCGATAATCCAACTTTGTGTGGGAACCTAGTTGCATGTTCTTTGTAAGTTTTATTTTGAAGAGTTTCAAGCCTCATAATAGGTGACTTCTTCAATCCTTTGAAATCCTCCAGAACCTGCTGGTAAATTTTGAAAGAACTGGAGGAATGCATGTTTAAAGCCAGTCGCGGACAGTATCATTCCACAACAAACTTGTCCCTAGCGCGGTATTCTCGCTGTCGGATGTCCAGGAGCTTCTGTACATTATTGAATCGCACAAAGGCTAAACTTTGCCCCTTTGCCGTGTGTTAAAAGTCTATAGTTACGTCACGCCAACCGTGAGAACTTTTGGGGCCCAAAGTTTCAACTTGTTAAACAACAAGATTCCTTTGTCACAGTCCTTTACAAAATCGACTTTCCAGATGTTGATAGATAGTCGTTTGCTTTAAAATTCTACATATCGTTTGGTTGTTGCTTTTTGAAACCCTGAGACAGTGTCACTGAGCGATATGTACTGTAATGCTTGGCAAAGCGCCGGCCCTCAACGGCCGGTGATATCAGTGGCCAGTCGAGGAGTCTACTTAACACTCAATCTCCATACATGCTCAACCTTGAGCCTCTGCATGTATGCTTATCCAAATGAGAATCACTGAACTGTGGGGATGAGGATAGACGTCACCCGACACTGTATACAAAATTGGCAAAGACTCCTGTGTTACGGGTGCAGGAAGGCCCAGCTAATACATGTGCATCCTCATGTAGGAATTTGTGAAACGCGCACGGTTCCTTGAAGACCTCATTGCTGGTGGTATAGGCCTCTTCTTTTAACTTGTTTTGTGTCTTACTTGTAGTCATTGATGACCGTGCAGTCCGACGGTGACAGCAGAGAGCCCTCGCCAGTGATGCTGAAACCGGTCAAGAAGCGCGCCATCCAGGAATGGAAGGAAACAGAGAACGGACAAGCATTTGCCGCCGACCAGGTAAGAGCTCGCGTGAGAAGTAAAAGCTCGCTGGGGTCGGTGTAGATCTGACGTAGAGAAATGTGTGCACCTCTCCAGTTGGGAAATTGTTCCGACAGTCATCAGTGGTATCCCATTGTTATCTTGAATTTGAACCATTCAGCAAATCCTTTAAGTTCTATGACAGAAAATACCTCACCTTCAATAAGATTGTAATGAACAGTGTTAACGATTGAGATGCAACATGCATAAACATAAGATTTTACAATATCAATATAAATATGAAAGCACAACTCCCCAAAAACAAATGCATAAAACAAAACACCCGTATCAAATACAACAAATCATTCAGAATGCTGGAAGTCTAACCTCTGCATGTCAAGGAAAGTTTCTTTTTTGTGGGAGGGAAGGGACAATCTAACACTTGGTGGCGCTGTTCATTAATAGTACTCTCAGGGCAGACGGAACCGTGATCGAATGTCTGAATAGGCACTTCGTTACTGCATTGACAGAATAGGGACAGCCCCACACGGCGCCAGCGGTGAGCATTAATGCCATGGCTTTGATTTAATGGCTATTTCACATGACAATAAGCCTCATTGTCTAGCTAACAACATACAGCGCCCGCCACACTTACGAACTCAGTGATAACTATTAGCGAGTGACCTTGTTACCTTTTAATGTATTCTGTGCATGTAAAAAAATAGTCAGTCGTGTTTGCTCCTAAGACATTCTTTTGGCTACACCACCGGTTGGTGACAGCCGCCTCTTTGTACAGTGTACACAGTAAAAAAAAAATGTTGAGTGTACCCACCTGCTTTCTTCTTGTCGGCCACCTGGATTTATTTTTGAAATTACTCCACAGTAAAAATGAGGTGAATGAAGCAAATCTGTAAACCAGGCTATCTGAAAATAAACTACTCGTGAAGTTTTAACATCAGCCTTTGTTGATTGCTTTCCACATGGTGCAGTCAACCATATTTATTATCTCTGAATATGTTTCCACATGGCCATGAAAACTTCACTATAACAACCATTGCACAAGTGCCCAGGTACCAGTGGTTCTTTTTTTTTTGTTTCTGAAACTGTTATACAAATTAAATAAAACAAATAAACAAACAAGCACCCCCCCAAAAAAAAGATGTAAACCACTTGTCTTCAAATGTGTTCAATTTTCTTGTCCAGCCCGTCACTTGTTTTTTTTTTTTTTTGTTATTTTTGAACATTGCAACACCAGTGGTCCCCACCAGAAAATATCAAAAAGTGGCTGCAATCTAGAAAATAAAAAGCAAAAATGAAAACCAAAATGGCCGACATGTTTAATTTTTACTTGACCTTACGTGCACTAGTAGTACACGTTGTACATGTACTTGCTACTGTTACAGTACATGTGTGTATTCAAGGGTTTGATTGTGAATGTCATGTGTGGTTGTTGCGTGTGGATGTGTGTCGGTGTGCACATTTGTTGCTACCAGCAATCTGTCCCTTATCTGATCATAGAAAAAAAAATTGACCTAATATTTTGCAAATTTCTTTGACTGAGTGTTTGAAGTTGTCTACACTGTAAATATCAATTGAGCAAATTCCAACATGTTGGATGCTTTCATGTGTGGGTTGACCTACCTGTAACAGTGCGTCCAGACCGTAGCTCAATATTGAAGCCACTTTAACTCATAAACACTTTGTCTGTTTGTTTCACACAGATCTGGATCGCGATCAGTGATCCCAGAGCTGGTTCGCTCCATCCCTAGGGGTCAGTTCTGGTGTCAGTGAACCAGTGTGGGATCACTGATCGCAGTCCGGATCCGCATGAAACAAACATACCCTGTGTGGAATCTCTGCACGGGGAAGGGGGGGAGGATTGCCATCTGTATTGACTCGGAACAAGGTAACCAACCCTGGAAAGTTTGCTAATTGGACCTCAGATAATATGCATTTATAGCAAACAAGGTACCTGTATTACATGTAAGAGGATACATCCCGTCACAGTACATGTATGTACATGTACATGTCAACTAGCCACCAAAGTTTTTTCGGTAAGTTCACAGAGTACATTGTATGGTTGCACAAGAACACACAGCATGCTGGTGTACAGCAAAACACCAGTTAAATATGCTTGCATACCAGTAAGCTGTATGTTTGCTGAGCAAATAGAGAAAAAGAGAACAAGTTTTGCTTTTTGGTTGAGATTTTTTTTTCCAAGAAAAATCATTTACATGTTTTCACAAACACTCTCTATGACCTGCCGCATTTTTCCAAGACACTTCAACATTAGCACGTACTGGGGTATACATGTTATATAAGTGACCTGTTTTGAGAATGAGGGGTGTGGTTCAAACCACAGAAACAGAAACTTTGACATCCTTTCCCGGACTAGAAAACCAAATTTCAGGAAACATTGGGTCATTATTGGCAAGGATTGTATGAAGTGGCACTTGCCACTTTTTAGTGTGATCCAGAAGTGACTAAACTATAACCTTACATGTACGGCATTTGTGGTCTGGTTCAAGGGAACACTTCCTTTTGTTTGCCATCAGCCAATCCTCAACAGACAGACAGACAGGGCATTAGGGAATGAGTGTAACTTTTGGACCCGCAGGCACTTGTGCAAATGGGCCTTTTATCAACATTCAGTCCATATATCTTTAGCTCATTGTGTTGCATGCACCGATAGTGTGAACATTTGTATGTGTCATACGAGTTCACAGGGTACTTCAGCAGCGTTTGTGCACTGAATGTTTTTCGACAAGTATCGATGAAGTTCTGTGAAGATAAAAAAAAAAATGGAGCTTTTGTGAGGGAGGTATTGACAGTCGGGTCCGACTTGAACTTGGATTTCAGAGAAAACGCCATGGAGGGATTAATACGGCTGGCTAGAATATCTCCGGTTCGAGCCAAAAGTCTGGAAACTGCCCCAGCTAAATTTAACAAATGCCTGTACACCGATCAATTTGGGCGAATGTGAACTTTGTGCGCTTCAGCTAAAGGTTTTTAAATGTTCCCTTTGGGCTGTTTTAGACAAACGATTTTGCTGCGCATTGTAAAAGTGGAACATTCAATTGCCCTGATTTTCAATTGAAATAGTGTTGCCAACCGACGTTTCATACACCTGCCTGCTGTCAGTGCTTATAGCCAGTCTTGTGCACATTCTGTCAAAAATCACAGGGCATGTGTACACATGTACGGTACATGCCATATTCCTCAGTGAACCTATCTGCCTCGAGCAGAAGCACCCCCTCATCGGTTGAAAAGAGCCGCGTTGGTCAGGAGTATTCATTTTGCTGGTAGTGATGCTACAACACTTGCATGTCCTACATGTACATGTAGTTGTTCATGAACTAGCAACGTGCAGTTAGTACCAAAGGAATCCCGGTTGCTAAGGAAATAGCACCCTCTCTTGGTCCAGCTCGGGGCCCATAGCATGAACATTACGAAATGTCATGACATTCATGTACATGTATACACTGTGCATATACCGAAGAGACCATCAGAGTGTGCGCATAATTACATGTATTTCATCATTTCAGATCTGGACAGCAAGCCCTTCAGCAAGTTTGCATGCGATTTTATTGCGTTAACAGACCATCTAGTGGCAAAAACAAAGATGCATTCAGTTTTCTTTGAACTGCCCCAATTTGTGGAGTTTCCGTCCTTCAGCACACGTCACCAGAACAAGTCGGGTTCATTTGAGTGGGAGGAGACAGCTTTTTGATCTTTAAGTCAGTGGATATGGAGATGACTAGTTGCACCAATAGTGCTTGCCGGTGAACAGACGACCGAACAATGTGCCCTTCCAGAGCCAATTCATTTTGCAGGAAATGAGATTACTCTCAATGCCAACAGATGAATCCTTCTCAAAGCTGGGATATCCACGTTCATGTATTCTTCTCCTGTTGGGCTGTACATGTATATGTATGTACATGTACATTGTGTTTGGGCGCAGTAGTACATCCGTGTCGTTCCTACCCATTGCGCGTTCAGTTACTTGAGGTGGTTCAATCCAGGAATATATCGGCAGGTTTTGTCAGACGAAACCGTTTGGCTTGGTGTGTAGAGAGAACATCTTGAAGTGTCAAATTGGGTTTAAATTTGCCAGTTGGGTTTGGAAGTATCAGTCCAGAGTGGACGTGTTCGTAAAAGTTCAAACATTGCCACTTTCACTGTTGACCTTATTTCTGTTACTTACAAACTTGCGTAGGGCATGATGAGCCAATTTTGAGGGTTTAGTTGAACTTTGCCCTTCAAGAATACAAATTCTTGGCGATCCTTTTTCCCGGGTGTGTTGCCAAACCTCAGACCTCTTTCCTGAAGGTGTTCAACATCTAAAATTGTTGACTACCGAAAAATTTACCTGACAGAGGCAAGTCTGGAGACTAGGCTTCGTATCATATCAAACCCTTAAAACAATGGAGATCCTCACAGCAGCACTGTTTTGACTGGAGTATGTCGTTGGATAAGCACAATATATCTGTGTTGAAGCCCAAAGGATTGTTCAATAATACCGGGGTACTTGGTGTGAAAGCCAACACGAATGCGCAACTAAGATGTCAGATCAAAAGTACATGTACGAGTACCTGTGCTGCCAATATGTTAAAAGTTTCAAGACTTGTCCTCTTAAGTGAATTTCGCTGCAGATGTGTTGTGAATTCAAATTCACTTTGCTTTCAAGTTTAGTTGATGTATAAACTGGCCTTAAAGTTGCTTGGTAGGTCTTTGTGTCCTAGCTACTGATCATTTCAGGGGCGAGATTTGTCAGAACTTTTCCATATGTCAAGATTTTCTTGATTTCAGGATTTTTTTCAAGCAATCTCTCTTAAATCTGGAAAGTCCTGAGTATACCAGTGAGGTGTTTTTGATGAAAGTTGATGTAGAACACAAGAAATGGGTGATTCAATGGGTGCCTTTTGACAAAATCCAAATGTATACAAAAGACCCTTTGATGCTGTGGGTAACCCCAAATCTCTGGTGATCATTTCATAGATATTTCATTTTTCACCAACCTCACTCCTGCCATTTGACCTGTACTTTTAATGAAGAGTCTGATCATTGTAATGTTTGGTTCCTTGACTTTTCTGCAGCTGATCCGGGATGCAAACAACCAACCCTCAGCACCAGCCGTTTCCGTGGCCCCCAGCGATGGCCTGGTGGAGCCCCCGTGGCGACCGATGCTTATGCTGCCTCAGCCCCTCCCCATGTCCCCGCGGGGCATGCTGTTCCCCTCGGGCCAGCTCACGGTCAACCTCAGCCGCAATCTAGCCCCCTCCCGGGCCCGCAAGCGCCCCAGCACCGACCTACAGGTTGGCGGGCTCCACAAAATGGGCTACGGGGCAGAGAGGGTCGGCAAGAAGCCTCGAAAAGAAGGTGCTATGATTGAACTCTCCTCTTCCCGCAATGGACTCATAGCTGACCGGACTAAATTACCGGCCAAGCATATACAGCCTATAATACTAGACTTTGATGTTACTCCACCAAAACTACCTCTGCGGGTGCCGTCACCTGTCAGCTCTGGTGCCTCACTCGATCAGGCCAATGCGAACGAGTCGTCTGCAGCAAAGGAGCGAAGCAAATCTGAAGAGACTTCTGATGGCAAAAAGGACAGAATGCCCGTCAGCCCACACTCTGCCGATAGTGCTGAGAGCTCTCACTCTAAACCAGAAGATTCTCCGAACAAATTGCTGCAGGTGCGTTGACATGTTCTGCAAACTTAGGTCACTCTCTGAAAGGCCTGGAGAGGTTTTGTTAAAAGCCTACCTTGATTGGTCCATTTGGGTGTTAGATTCCGTGAGATCGAATGTCAGTTCTGATTGGTGCACATTTTGCTAGACTTTAAATGCACAAATATCAAAAACAAACTCTAGAAAAGATTCATCTCAACACATATTGAAGAAATTAGTAGGAATGGAACATTATTACTCCAAATCTCACTTCGTGCCCTCAGAAGAAGTAAAAGTTATGGAAGCATTTCAATTCTATTCCAAGGCCGTTTTCCAATACTCAACTGCGGCTCCGTCTCAGGCTTCAGCTGTTTTTTTACTACCTGAGTTTGAAGCTGGAAGCGCAATATTTAGTCTAATAGTGCCACAAAAATCAAATAAGATGCAACAGAGCCAAAAATTACAGAAATCCAATTTTATCTAAACGCCTCAGGTCCACAATCAGGGATTGATTTCGGGGACGAAGCCTGAGACGGAGACGAAGTTGAGTATTGGAAAATGACCCAAATTTTATTCATAATGTCGGCCTTTTTGCAGAAGCTTTTTTTTGGTATCATTGCTTATTGATTGTTTTAAGTTGAAAAGTCAAGGGGGAAAATCAAAAGATTTTTCCAGGCGAGGGTTGCAGTTTAGTGTACTCATGTAGAAGTTGTTGAATCATGGATGTTTCACCTTGTTTCCCCCAATGCTTTTAAAGGTACCTTCGAGCGATCCAGGGAACTCCCCAGATAGCAAGAGGAGCCTGGATAATAAGAGTCCACATCCATTCAAGAAGCCAGACATTGACAGCTACAGGAACAACGTCTCGGCTGGACGATGCTTCATGTGTCAGAGCCCCATTCCTCCGAATTCGAGCAAGGATGCCTCTCAGCAAGAAAGTGCAATATTGTCCATTTGTATGAAGTGTAAGAAAGTGGCCATGTCTGGTTCCACGTCATTGAAACCTGTACCAAAGTTTCCGTTAGCCTGCAACCCCACGCTGGCGCCGAGGACAGTCTACGTTCCACCACCGCGGAGGCAGACTCGGCCCAGGCCACCTGCACCCACGGGACCGCAGAAAGCGGTGGGGATAAGACTCTACCCGCCGAGGTCACGCTCCAAGTCATCGTCTTCGCAGCGGTCCACACCTGTTCAGTCGCCGTTGGCACCCCCAAGTTCCCCCGGTCAGATGTCCATGCCGGGCTCACCGGCCCCGAGTCTGCCGATGGGCAGCCCCCAGCCAATGTCGCCAGCCATCATAATGCACAGTGCTCCACCAAGCCCCAGGCACCCCTCAGATGCTGGCCTCAAGATGAGTCGCTCTTTGCCACCGAGTCCATCCATGATCCACCAGCATCCGGCCTCCCCTGCCGCCCCGGATGCCCGGGAGCCCGATTGTTCCAAGAAACTCTTACCATCTGCCTCTTTACAAGTCCCCAGCCCCTACAGTTCCAATCCCTCAACTCCTGGTGGCAGGGATTCCTCCTCTTCAGAGAAGTTGTCCCTGCCACCAGGACGAGAGCAGGATGATGCAACCATCAAAGCACTGCTTCAGTTAGGAAGAGGATTTGAGAGGGCCCCCTCTGAGCATAGCACCGACAGTACACCTGTGCCCTCCCCAACAAGTAGGCCCCCTGAGAAAGACTCTCTTCCAATGCCCAACCCCACCAATAGTATTCCCATACCTCACTCTCCCACCAGCATACACATACCTCATGTTGCGATGCCAGGAAGCCTTCCACACCTAGCAGGGCAGGTTCCCATGATCCCATCAAATGCAGGGGTGGTGATGGGTCCCGAAGGTCAGCTTTTACCCATCATCCCAAGCTGGGCCCCTCTAGGTGTCCCCACCAGTGAGGCATTGAACATCTTATCGCACGGCTGCTCCCCAGTGCCATTGCTGATTCAGCAGCCCATGACCCAAGAGTCCTCCAGCCCAATTGTCTCAGTTGCGACCTTAGACCCAGCCTCGTCAGGCATTAGGTCTCGCACCCTCCCAGAACCATCAAAGACAAATGCTGGACTCGTTCTGGACAGCCACACCCAAGATTTATCAACCCTGAAATATCGGAAAGGCTTGAAGAGATCCCGAGTATTAGAGAGGAATACAGACTCCCCCAGAGCAGACCCGACCCACGAAGACAAATCCAAGCCACCAATTGTAATAGTTGGGACGAACTGTGCGGGGTCCACGTCTGTCAAACTCAAGAACAATTCCAGGGAGCCCTTGTACCCCCAGGAGCCAGTGTCCCGCGAACTGCCAGGGATGTATGGCAAGCTGTTCACTGCCTTCTGCTGTCGCTGCTCGGGCCGGGAGATCATGCTGCTGCAGTGCCCGGACTGCGACTTTGTGTGCAACACCAAGTGTGGGATGGAGCAGCACATCGCCGCCCAGCGCCACATGGAGAGCCACGGGAAGGGCAGCATGCTGGAGGCCATGACCCGGCAGGCCAATGAGGCTGATGACAGGGACGAGATTGGCTCACAGTCCTCCGTTGAGACTCAGTCCGCAGACACTGATCCTGATGCTGCATCCCCGCCTCCTACAAGGATACCGAGAGAGGTAAGAATATGCACCACACTGCTTTCAAGATCCTTTAGTGGTCTGTTCACTGTATCAGAGACTGCATATGTTCAGCTTTGTTTGATGAGCTGTGAGAAGAAAATAACATGTTAAGAGGTTCAGAAAGGAAGAGTACACATTGTAATGACTGTTAATCAGGGAATAGGAAATACATGTATTTGAAACCACTTTTTCTATTTGTGGGAAACTCGGTATGAGGCATTTTTCATAGCTTGTCACACAGGTCAGAAAACATTTTTACATTTTTTTTTCTACACATGGGCAAGCATGTTTATGCTTTTTTATGGGATTGCTGAAGCCTTGTGAAGTTTGAATGTGAAAAGGAATTCTTTTCACAAGATTTCCCATTTCCTCTTACAGTGTCAGCTTTCATTTCCAATATACTGTCTACCAATCAAGAGGGAAATGCTTTTACCCAAAATTTCTAAGGGAGATTTGATTTCATTAAGTTCAGTGAATTCTCATATAAACTAAATAGAGTAATACATTGGGGTATTTCTCACAGTGTTACATTAACAGACCAAAGGAAATTTGTCCCAGTTTTTCTGAGTGCTTTTGAATTATTTGGCAGAAATGTGGCTGAAATCCTCAAGAAGTCAATGAGGCAGCTGTCTGTAATGTGTAGGTTTGCAGTATGCTCGAAATTTCTTCAATTTTCCTTCTTTTGTACACATGTATTTAACAGGTTCCATGGGCCAGGATCACAGATCCTACTAGTCAGGTACCTGTTCCCCTTTGGCAGAATAACCTCTTAAATGTCATGCCAGAGCGTGGCATTCCTGTGGAGACCACCCCACCAAGGCCTAGCCAAGCCAAGTTTGTGGTGTCTTCCAGCTTCGGCAGTTTTGGAACAGTGACTGAAAACACAGTACCCCTTGATCTCAGCGGGCGGACGTTCCATCCCGCACCATATTTTCCCTTCGAGCTGAAGGAACCCCGGAGGGAGAGCTCTGCGGAGGAGTCAAGTCCATTGGACCTGTCTGGTTACAGCAGGCCGTCCATCATGTCTACCGAAGGGAACGGGAGCCTGCATCCCTTCCTCTCCAGCAGGAAGCTGGGTCCTCAGGCCGGCATCACGCCCAAGAAAACTCCACTGGACCTGATGTCCAGTCAGCAGCCATCAACCGCACCCGGCCTCATTGTGGCATCTCCCAGCATTAAGAAGTGCCCCCAGCCTCCAGTGCCGCACACCTTCTTTGATCTGATGCGGCTGCACGGCATGCCGGTCCCCACGACAGCCATGATGCCAACGTTGAATCCCTCTAAGGGCCTACAGTCTTCAAGCTCCTCCAAGCTGCCGACCGGGCGCCCTCCACCTGACCCATCCTTATTATCAGTAGCTAGGACCCAGCCAGACAACCCCTCCAGCTCCAAATCCAGTCCCATCATTCCAAGCATTGTCTTATCCAGCAGCTCCTCAACATCTCCTTACGTATCAAAAGCTTTGTCCTACCCAACCACTGAATTAACCCGCCCGCCCCCTGGTGTCATAACCTCCCCAATTTTAACCAAGCCCCAATCTCTAAACTTCCAAGGAGGCACAATATCCATTAGGCCTACCATTCCGTTACCTCAGGCGCTCGTTTCATCCAAGACTGTTCCAGTGCTTTCACCCTTTCTGCCGCCAGGCTCAGGTCCAGCATCTGCCTCAGAGACAAGAACTTCTCCTGGTCGGGAATTCCCCCACATGGACTTACTCAGTGTCAGTGTGGGCTCTCCCAAGGTAAATGTTGGATCTCCGAGCAGGATTTCTCCGAGCGTTCGAGAATCACCAAAAGCAAGACACAGACACAATGCTCTGGAGTCTCCAAGGGAGTACTCCGGTCGGAAGGATCCTTCACCTGTGAGGTCTCCTCAGCAGGTGCACATCAAGATTGAACCCCCAGACTCTCTCCAAGAGGTAGAATATTGCCAGAGAGCTGTAGAGAACAATCGTGAGCAACAGTGGCACAAGGAAGCAGAGGAGCAGGCCAGACTTCTTGAGGCAAGCCTGGTTGTACCTCACCCTAGCCCCGTTCGCAGTAGGGTAGTAACCGTGGCCCCAAGTGGGATCGGCAGGACCATGTGGGGCATCTCGTCCAAGAGTTTACAAATCAGGGACAGTGGGTACGTGGACACCATGGCAAATTTCCCCACGTCCCCACGGACAGTTTCAGACAGGCCACTGTCGGGGACGAGCCAAAGACATGACACACACAGTGGTGCTAGTGAATCCTCAGGGGGCCAGAGAACTAAACTGTCAGCCAGAGAAGCCGTGGATGCACCAGCAACCAGCCCAGATGTCCAGGAAAATTATCTCGAAACACCGGAGGAGGCTTCTGAAAACGGTGAAGAATATAGCCCACCCGGCCACACTGTTGCTTCAAGCGGCAGCACCGGCCAGACTTTCAGAGTACCAACGGGCTCAGACTGCAACGACAATCGGAGCGACAAGACAGATCTAATCACGGAGCCTGTTAGTCCTGCCGCACTTCACATCAAAGAAGAGAAGTAATGCTTCGGCTGAGAGAAATCGACCGGTAAGTTGATTACTTGAAACTTTCTCCAGGTTTTTCTCTTTGCAGCCCGCCGAATAGAGCCACATTACAGCAAAGTGCTTAGCTCACTAAAATCACACATTAAAATCTAGCAGCAACTCAGTCGTCTGGGAACTCTGGGAAGTGTGGTGAGTGAAACCGGAGCTGCCGTGGTCTTAGTCATGGGGTGTCATTATAATCACATTTATTCTTTCCTTACTTGTATATTTTTTTGTTTTCTGTTTTGGAAAAAAATATAACAGATACATGTACCATTGTTTGACTTGCATATTTATCAGTATTGTATTCGGGTCGATCACAAGTCCAGTCACAAGTCCCTTCACAAGACCAGTCACAAGTCCCTTCACGAGGCCAGTCAGTCATAAGTAACAGGATGAACAATGACAAAAGAATGCTTCTGTCACGGCTCATATGAATAGCTTGTGAATTGGCTTAAGACTGAATGACTTGTGATGGACATACAGGGACTTGCAAGGACTTGTGATGGAGTCAAATACAGCACTGATTGTTATGTGGTTTTAGTTGTCTGTCTTGATGAGAGACATGAATTTAGTGATGAGATTGTCACTTGGATCATTTTTACTCCACTATGCAGCTGAATGCTTTCTGAACTGACAGCAGTCATGGGTTGTACAAGGAGAGGACATGTCTGGACTCCGGACCTCAATTTGCAGGAAGAGAATGGAGTGGTGACCAGTCATGAGGCTTAGTGCACGACTACAGATTTGGAAAGTGTCATTTGGATAAACAGGGTTTGCCTGTGAGCAACCTGATCATATTGGTGAATATTTCACTAGTGTTATAAAGTAGACCGTGCGCAGGTGCACTTCAAGGAAAGTGTGCTGCTCTTGCTCTTGTGATGTGAGGAGACTGCGAAGCGCCCTCTAGATTTTGTGTTTGAAGCCTTCAGACTGATGACACAGACTGCAAGAAGATTTTTTTGGGGGGGAGGCTAATCAGAATGGTTAGAACTCAGAATGGGAACTGTTCACATGCTCAAGAATAGAGACCCGTTTGGTACAGATGACGGATAATGCAAAGCAGGATTTCCGACGGGGGCATCTGGTTGCTTCGGTGATACCTATCAACTTCATTTATCGTTTCATCTCCGTGGAGAATGAGGCCAATTTCTTGCATGTTTTCCTTTACGTGTGGCCTGCTTACCTGCCCAACAGATTCATTTATTGCTTGGCTTATTTCTTCGTAATTGTTTTGTCATGTTTGTTTTTTAATTTGCAAGAAGGCTGCAAAATTTCAGGGGCTTCCAGACTTCAAACTGCTGAAACCAGGCCTGCAGTTTCTTGAATGTCTTCAAAATGAAGAGTCACATCCTTGCTTTTAAGCTCAGGTATCATTTTATTATTCAGAAGCTGGCCTGATGATTTTTTTTCTTTTTCCCTTTTTTGCTTTTGTTTTTCATCTGTTTAATTGTTTCTGTCTGGTCAGTTACCATTTGGAAACAGTGCATTGATTTGTTGACGTAGTTGTTCTTTGACAGTTTTGGTCAGCCATTGGTGGAAAGGGAGGGAACAGAAGTATGTGAAAATCAGGAGCATTACCATTGTCGTCTTTTGTTGCGTTGCTAAATCTTGTCTACTGAAACCCCTTTTTTGCAAGCAAGATAGCCATACACTGTTTCCATTTGGCAGATGCCACTTTTCCATATGTACACTTTGGGGGCAGAGGTTTCAGTTCTGTACATTGTCAGCCAACTTTCTTATAAACTCAACCATGTGGACACAATGCGTCCTTGACATGTGTCGGTGGAAAGGTGCATTCATTCTTTGGACAACCACCAGCGCTTCAATCAAATTTAAGGACATCCTCAAATTGCTACTTTGAATAAGAGATGACCTGCGCGAAATTTAATTTTCGAACCAACTCCCTCAAAACTAAAAATCCTTACCCAACTTTGAATAGTTTAAGCTCCTGTATTTTTGTTTTAATGTATGAAATCGAATTTAAGATATATATCATCAAATGAAAGGGTACTGTTAATTCCAAAAATGATGTAAATATTTTAATATGTAAATTAATGTATAAAATTGAATTGAAATTACTAACCTTACAACAAGAAATGAGAGATTATATTTGTGTTCGAATTGTTCCCATGTTGTGGTTGTTGCAAAGTGCCTCAAGGGTACAGAAAATTGGGATTATATACAACGCTATACCATGCTATAATAGTACACAGAAAGTTTTATTCTAACACCGTGTGTAACACTAGGGCCCTTGCTTATAGTTTATCAGTGTTAGCATATTGGGCGCTTTTTAATAAGTTTATTTTTCTCCCTTTTTACTGTCAAAACAGTAAAATGTTATGATTTTAATCGGAGAGTTGAATAAGACGCCCTCATTCAATGTGCTGCTAAAGGTACAGTCTGTCATTTGCATTTATCCAAAAATTAACTGACAATTAATGTTGAAAAGCGTACTTGGTTTAAACGTGGTTATGGGACTAAACTCTGTGGGAAATTATTCCTTCTGGCAAGCTGTCATTTTTAAGAAAACAGTGAAAGAAGGTTATGTCCAACGATGTGTCTGAAGACGCATTTTGGGAAATTGCCATTAGTAGTTTGTTCTTAATTTGATGAAGCATTGGCATGTGTTGACACCATGCACACACATGCGGTTTCTTTAATTAGCTCAGTATGCACAATCCTGATGCTGCAGTTGGCCGAACGAGAACGGTTCCGAACGCTGAATTGTGGCACAATTCAAAACGTGACCTGGCAACTTTTGATTTGAAACGAATGTTGTTTTTATTGGAATATAAAGCATTCACTGAGCTGATATGTCATCAGGTTGGTTTTTCAGCACCTTACATTAGATTTGAGCATTTTTGTTGCCTCAAACGAACATAACACACTCATGGCAAATGATGGACTCAACCTTTAACACTGCTTGTGATTGGAATAGTTCTTGATGGGGATTAGTATCAGCACAAGCGCGGAACAACCACCTTGTAGACTTTATCCTCTGAACACAATCTGAAAATCAGTGTGTACAGCGTCGGTAATCCCAAACATGCTTTTCAGTGGGTTTCTGTCTCTCTTCATTTTCCCCGGTGTTACTGGTGTTTTTTTAGTGTAATGCAAGGAATTTTATCTTGTTTTGAAAACATTTTAAGCTGCATTTCTGCTGCATTATATTAAAGTTTGATTTTTGTTCGGGTCAGAATCATCATATTTACTCTGAAATACTGTTGCCAACCTGTTATTTTTTTAAAGCTGGACCAGGAGTTAAGGAATTATTTGTAAATAAGCAAACAACCCGACCTACCTTTAACATTCAGAGCTGCTGATCTGAAGCTAATAACTCTGCTGTGATGTTTTTATAGAGAATTACGAGAATTATAGTTTTGGGAGAAAGGATATAAGAATTATTGGTTTGTGTTATTTTTAATCGTTCTTCCTTGTTCTTTGGTGGAAACGTGTAAGCAATTTTTTGACTTTTTTTTCATAAATAGTGATTGTAATGAGTCACTTTAAGAAATTCGTGAAGGAGTTAAAATAGGCCTGTTGATGTTATATTCTGAATTTGCCGAAATAGACAAAGGAGGCAACACAAGGATGGATCTGGGTGGGCACAGTGGGGTCATTTCTTTTTTTGGGGGGTGGGGATAATGGAAGGCAACTTCTCTGTTCTCACACATTTCCCTTCCAAAAGCAGGTCAAAAGCCCCAAAATGTAGCCTCACCCCTTATGAAACATTGAGCATATTGTAGATCGTCCCCTCCCCCCTCCAAAAAAATAGGCCCTCCTGGAAAAATTTTGTCCTGGATCTGCCCTTGAGACCTCACCAGATAACAAGTTGTGAAAGTAAGTGTTGTTGATAGTTGGAAAGTGTCCTAAGTAGTTGAAAAACTTGACTTCTACTTGGGAAAGAAACAGTTGAATTCTCTGTTTCAGGAAAAAGCAGCTGTGTTTTTAACAATTGCGAGTTAAACTCCTTTTTTTTTGTAATTCTTCTGGAGGCTGCGTCGACACTACTCGCTGTTATGCATTGTGCAGTTGTGAAAGCTGACCCCCAACTAATGTAAAGCAAAAAGGAAAAAAAAATGACAGCCAAATTACGTCGCTCCATCTGAGAAAAAGTTGAATTTCATTGCAACCAGAATCTTTTGTGCAGATGATGGTTGGATTCCGTCAACATAAAGCAGTTGTCTAGCCAGTCATTCAAGACACATTTGGGGTACCTTTTTTATTGGTTGGTGCAAAACACAACTTTGTCCAAAAGAAGGCAGTTGGTCCAAGGATTTCAACAGCATCTGATCCCATGGCTACGGAAGATTTTATATTACTTTTTGTAGATCTTGGTACATGTATTTAACATTTGTGTTATTCCCAACTTCCTTAAATGTTATTAGGCTAATCGGAAAGTTCTGATAAATTGTATAAAAATTGAATTTTAACTAACACTCTGCCAAAACATGTATTGTCTTATATTTCTTTTTAAAGAAATGCTTCCTTTAATTGTACCCATGTCTCACTACTCAATGGTATAGATCTTGCTAATATTTAGTAGGTACCACTCTTAAATTTGTACATATGAATTATTGTAAATATCTTACAGAAACTTTGAAAGCCTGTGAAAGATATATATACTTGTATAAATGTTTTAATTTTCCTCAAAGAAAAAAGCGGGCATTAGCTCTCTGAAAGCTGCTTTTTTGTATTTAAAAAAGTCTGATGAAAAATCCAGAAAGAGTGGAAATATTTTTATGATTAATTTGACCTATTCATGAATTGCATGTCATGTATGTTCATTGCTGATTGGACAAGCCACAGGTACATTAAATGTTTTAAAATGAAGACAAAGATTTGTGTATATATTTAAATTGAAATTTGAAAATAAAATGCAGGCATTGATGATGATAGATACCTAATATTTTTTGATAAAAATGGAAAAAGTAGCTGCAAGAACTGTTAAAAAAAAAAGTTTGAAGCTTGAATCTTTTGCTTGACGTCAACTATCAGGAGCCTCCGAAAGAGCCAGTGATTCGCTTTATGTCATTTGAAGTGTCTGGTTTTTTTCCAAACGTTAAACGGTGTGGTGTCATCTTCAGGGATTCTCTCAGCTTGTATGCAAGTGGGATGTCAGTTTTGTGATTGGCATGATTATATGGGAAATAAACAAGATCATCTGATCAGAGTTGTGTGTCTTAAAGCCCATCTCTGCTGCACTGTTGAATTGTTTGACCTCTTGACGTTTTAAGGGTCAGTGAGGAGCCGGTACAAGTGCTTCAAAACGGCTGTGTTATTCCTGCCTAAAGCATGCGCACAAGGTGGCGAATAACCGCACGGATAGAGCAAACTTTGTGCGCATGTGCTGATGTTCTTGGGTGACCTCAGACGCAGTTCATTGTGGGCATGCGCTATCGAAATGTACTGAACTGGCTCACGGGAGACCAGGCTGACATAAGCCTCACAGTTGATGATGTATTTGTGAACTATTGTGTCATCATTGACTTTTGTAATTGGCTATTCTGCTATGATGTTTTAGTTTGTTTAGTTTAAGTGTGTTCGTTCAACTTTTTCCCCCACAAGAGCAGCTGCCGTCACACCAACTCATCGCAGATCCCCCAAATCAAATTTTGAATCATCAATATTTTGGTCCCTTTTTCTCGACAGCGTAAATAATTCAGGAAGATGTTATCTGATGGAAGTAATTTTAGAGAAAGGTTTCACAACACCTATTGTTAGCGTGAACACATGTAGTTAATCTTTGCCAATCATGTCTATCATATGCTGCTCAGTTAGGAGGTGCAGCCCTATAAAATGTACACCACTGGTAGTGTATAGAGCTTATCTTGGTCTTGTTCCCTGTTTGGAACTTTTCAAAGTGGCATGAAGCGGGTCGTCAACGGAGGCACCAACCCACTCCTTTTTATATTTTTGATGATGTATAAACTGTGACGTTTTTCTGGACAGGGAAAAGCTCAGGCTGGCATGAATGAGATTATGCAAATGAAGCATAGTTTAGAGGCCAAAGTAAAATTGTTAGTGTAATTGCAGTGTTTTCCATTTTTATTTCTTGTAGATGCTGTCTGTAGTGGGTTTTTTTCCAGGCTACTCAAGTTATAGCCTAGCTTGTACCAAATTAACCAACCAAGACTAGCAGTGTGGTCATTTCACGCGTCATATTTTTTATTAAATGTGCCTTTGTTGTATAAATAAATATGCAACATTCAAAATGACAAGTCTTGACAAATTGATCTTTTTTTTTTATTTGTGTCTTTTTTTTCTTCATGATGTTTGTGTTTGCTGCATGCATATTTATTTAAGGCAGGGGTTTGAGAATTCAGCTGTTTAGCTGATTTCAGCTTTTTTGTTAAGATGTTGACCCTGACTCCAGCTTTATTGTGCGGCTGGTCTTTACAAAAGTAAGGGGACTTTTTACTTGTTAGCTTTATGTTAGCTGTTTTCAGCTTCAATTATAAGTGGCCACTCATACCCGTTTAAGGCTCTGCTTTGGCACTCCACATAAAATTGTTGGTTTGCAATCATGGCATCTTTCACTTGATGCAGTCATTTGGTTTTGGACAGAAATGTGGTTAGGGCTTCTTTGCAATTGGCTGCTGGCTTCCGGGCTTCCAGATATTGTTCTGGTAAGGTATTGAATTCCTTAATGTTAAAAAGAAGTTGAATATCAAATTCTATCGTAGTCAGGAAAACCCTCACACCAAGACTTCATTGGTTATTTTAAAGCAGTCCACAAAGTGTGTCACTGAAGAGCTATATTGAGATTTCAGAGAAATTGTTATAAAAATTGCATGAGTATATATAAAAACCGAGGGGTATCTCTTTCACTGAAAATATCTCTTGCGGAGAAAGTGTTTGAGTGGAAGCTGAAGGGTTGTTAAAAATACTTCATGATTTATTTTCGGTACATCTTCTGAAATGGCTTTTTTATTTGGTTATATCCAATTTCGTTTAAAATTCTCAGGTGCTTGAACCATCATCTAAAAAGATCCTTCCTGTATCTCAGGTGATGATGATGTCATAACATGCCATGTGACAACCCCCACAAGTTTGCATATTTTTTATGCAAATTGACCTTTTCCACGAGGAAGCCAAGAAGAACATAAAGGATAAGAAACATTTGAATGAAATGTTGAACATCAACTCGGAACAGAGACCACTCACCTTGGGAGTGCCTAATGAAAGGCCTTTTTCTTATCCATTGCTTTTATCAAAAGAGGAAATGCTGAAGCTAATTGCATTGATAAGAACATCAACTGTGTTGTTGTTCTTTTAATTTCAGGAATTGATATCCAGGAAATTCAGAAGTAACTATGAATTTGATTTGAATGAAACAGAATGTTTTGTGTCGACAATTGTTTTGTTCACTCTTTGGTTTAGTGTGCTTGTTTACTTGTGTGGAAGTTTGCCTGCATGCTAGCATACTTTCTTGCTTGGTTTTTTGCTTACACTGGTCAGGTCACTTATTCACTAGGTTGTTATGATTTTTGTTGATTTTTACTGAATACGTTTTTTTCTCAAAGATATCATTACTAGCAATCAAGCTAGGCCAGTTAATTTATTTCAAGCAGACCTTCGCCTATAATTCACAATCTTTTCGTTTATAACCTGAAGTTAGGAAAGGTACGTCAGTTGATGAAGTGGAAGGATGACAAAGGTCCTCGTGACTGCAATTTAAAAGCAGTAATACGGCATTTATTTTCCAGGACAGCTGCTCAAGGATCCAGAGGTTTGTATGTTTGGGTGTGTGTGGGAGAAGAGGTTTTTATTCCTGTCTTGAGGCAATTATACAAAGAAGTAATTTTTATTTTAGTTATTTTTGCTGTAATGTATTTCATTTTCAAGTTCAGTGTGGCTACACTTGCCACTGTGTTTCAAATCCACAATGCGTAAAGGGGTAGCTATATCTTAATGTAATTTCACATTTTTAGGCTAATTGTTCATAGGCCTACTGAAGGCACGGTAATTCATTCTCTTTGAGCCTGAACAGTTTTTGTCGAATTTTCTTTGGTATTTTTTTTACGGAAAGGCAGGGCAATGACGTCAAAACAAGCCCACAGGAACTCGTATTCAACCAAATTATAAAGGCGGATTCAGAAACTGATTATTATGGGGGTGGAATTTGTGGAGGACAATAATGTAGAATTTTCTTTTCATGCCCTTTATGGCCTTTCTGAGGGTCGAGCCTACATTTGAGGGCTTTTGCATACGCTTCTTGAAGAAAGGGAAACGACATTGACAAAAATTTTTCTCGTTTCATTTTATCAAAATGAAAAAAGGAGGGGGAGGAGTTACGAGGGTCAGCGGCCTCTGTTTCACTACGGAAGTAGAAAAATACTACCCCATCCGCCCTTGCACTAATTACGTTCGAGTCCCTATCTTTGCTCAATTTTCAAATATTAAAATTGGTCTTTAATATTTATTTATTTTATTTTAATTTTTTTTGGCGATGTTATTGTAGGCCCCTGTGCATTTCTTTCCTGTGTACGTCTGCCGAATTGGGCAAAGGCGGCTGGGCCCTCAGATCGCCATTTGCGACTCTTTTCCTGCAGGAGGAAACCGTCATGTACCTGGACGTCTCAGCATTATTTAGAATCCTTTGCACTAATAGTGGTCACATTCACTCAGCGCACGCGCAAATTTAAAAAGCGGACGCCACACGAGGATCCTTCTCACACGGTAAGTTTCTCAGTACCAAAATGCTGTTTTTACCCTGTTAATGACCCCAGAAATACTCTTTGTTTACGTCTTCTCATTCTTGATACATTAGTGTAGTGACTGGATCGACTATTTTGACGAGGGCTTCGTGCTGCCCTTGTGCAGCTGGGACGTGTTTTGGCGACGTTAACCATGCAGATAGACCAGCTGCCGTGACGTACCGGTAGACCAGAAACATGTTTCTGCCTTGTTGGAGTTTGGTCGGGCGTTTTCGTTACTTTGGCTATCCGTTTCGTAAGTGACTTCGTCAAACACGCGGACACTGATTGCAGGCTCCCATTGGATGAATGATAAAATTGTGTGTTAAAACATAGGTACCTTTAGCTCTACCGCTACTGAGTGGAGCGTTAGTATTCCTCTTTTTCGATTTTTGGACGGGATCGGTCGTACTAACGCTCCATGCCCGTACATTTAGTAAGGTGAAAACGGTTCTCAAAAATGCCAAAGACTCACCAGAAATACCTCTATCACCACCTCCTGGCTTCCGTAAATGCCAACGTCAAACGGTTTGGGCTTCAATAATATTTCTGACTTCAAAATCTGTCAAAATCCAACCGTTTTTGCTCGACACATGCCCAGCACTAGTTAAGCTTTTCGCCGCCTCCTCCCATTCAAATACGGGCATGCGGAGTTTCTGTTGCAATAAGTCTGTGGACGAACATGGTCCTCACACTGACTTGAGGTCTTGCAAAGTCACGTCATTGAATAGGCCTAGGTATGTGATATCATTGTTCCGACCAAATGAAAACCTGCTGCCCTCAATTGCAGAATACTCAGCCACCCCGCATGATCAACCTCAATGGATTTTCCCCTTGTACCCACGTAACCAGTCTTCTAGGGGTCGTTGTTTAGAGTGGCAGGGTATTCTGCAATTATTCCACCTACTGAGATGCATTTTGATGGTCATAACCAAGAACTGGTTCAGTTATAATTCTTTAGAGATTTTCTTTGGCAGGCCCCTGATGTTAATTGGTTTAGAATTATAACCAGGAAAGAGTCCCATATATGGATGCCACTGTTACACTCCGTGCACAAACCCTATCAGACTGATCTGAAAACGTTTTTTTCTAAGTAACCGTCTTTGTATTTTCCTTCCTAAATTGAACTTTTCTGAACTTTTTTTGCTTCCTGGTGGCTAATAAGTCACTGTAGGGAATAGGGACAAATTGACTCCAATTACAGCATTACTTCAACATCGATGAAAATCTGTAAGTGTTAGAGGTACATGTACACCAAATTTGTCGTCACTTTCTATTGAAAGTCACATCTGACCCTTAAATATCACATCAGTTCCTTGGACAACGCTGTGGGATTGTCAAGAAAAAGGTTACGTAATGAGATTTCACTGTCAGAAAAAGAAAGTGGAAAATTAGTGTCTTGGCTGATTGAGTTTGAATTCAGTGGCCTTTAAAGTCAACCATTTTTCCCCATTGCCTTCACTCTCTCCTCAAACTGTTTGTTTTTGGAGGAGAGCATATTTCTTGCCTGCACTCACAAAGTGGATAAATTGCATTGAATGTTCTCCTGGTTCTTCTTCAGGTTAACGAGAACAGCTGCCGACATGGATGCTTGGAGAAGTGCTGCCCTGTTCATCTGGAACAAGAGCTCTCGGATTTGTTGAAAAGGTAAGTTTTCTCATTCTGTTTCTGACTGAAGTCAATTTGAAAATTGTCAATCATTTGGTTGCATGATTCATGAAGCATCACTCAGTTTCATTGTATGAACCCACAAAAGTGTTTTACCAGAAATACCCTGGGAATGAGTAGACAGTGAAAACGAGTGAGTCCACAGTCAATTAGGTAATGGATCTTCACTTTACAAAGCATTTCCTATAAGCATTACACTAAAATCTCATTTTCATGCTCCGTCGCTTCGCCCATCCTCATGAAAAACAGTTTGATTTTTTTGAATAAACATTGCATGGAACAACACAGCAAATAAGAAATTGATTCTAGGTTTTAAATACAATTTGGAAGAGGGGGTTTCACAATGCCGCTGAGTGCTTCAACCTTCTGCTTGTAAATACGTGTAGGCACAATAAAAGTTCAATACAGAATTGATGAAACCTTAAAGAGTACCTCTAAGGAAAACATATTTTCTCTCACTGTTGAAATTAATATGGAAGCATCCAAATTGCACGCAGTGTCATTTGTCTTCAGAGCTCAACTATAACAAGCCCAAAAGGGTTTTTTTCTGTTTAATGCCAAGATGCGAATTCTGAATGTAGATTGCGTCATTCGGAGAAAACAAGGGGAACCCTCGCCCTGTGTTCGTAGTGGATAAACCCTTGTGCATGCCAAACAATACCTACAAACAATGATACATGCATTGTTTGGCTTGCACAAGGGTGAAAAGCAAAGTCTGTGTAAATTCTGAACAAATTGGCTGTACGATCTTGAGCTATTTTGAACAAGTATTGAAATAATATGCATCACTAACAAGTAAATTATATACTTCATGTAAAAAAAAATATGTACAGAGTGATCCTACGACCAAGTAAGGCCAAATAATCATCATCAATACAAAATTCCAGCAATTTGCATTAGCTAAAATTGAAGTAGCAAACAATACTTGTATGCAGTACGATTGACTTCAGTATTCTGAAATTTACAAAAAATTCAGTATTGCATTGATTAAACATGAAATTATATTAAGGAAATGCAATAAGTTGCTGGAGCAAAGCATTAGAGACTATTTCAATGAATTAACCCGAACAAATTTTCTATACAATCAGAAGCTGCCACATATTTGAACACTGGCAGAGGAACTGTTTATTAGGCAACATAAAGAAATACAAGTACAGTAAATTTAATCTTAATACTGATATTTCTGCATAGAACACCAACAGGACACCGTAATTGAGATAATTGCTACACTCACAATTAATTCTTTCCGTTAAAGCCATTACATTAACCCTAGCCTTCCCTTACCACACAGAATTAAACACCAGTAAGGTGTGTGAATTTGTGGCACTGGGTACTGTACCCCTAAACTACTTGTGCTTTAACATGGGTTCAGGCGTACCCAAAATAAACAGAGTCCAACAGTTTTTGTGCACAGTTTACCATATGGTGTTGGAATTTGTGTGAATGGGTATGGTTCCTAGTAAATCACTCTGGGGAGTTAGGGTTAAAGTGACAAAACACAAAACTTCACTAATACAATTTTAACAATTGATTTACCTATCAAGTCCTCTGCTGTGTTGACTGCCTGTACAATTCCCCCCCCCCAATGATATTGGAAAAGTGGAAATGTACATATATGCTTCAACTAAATGTATGCAAGTCAACGCTTTTAGACTAACGGTAGCAATGGCAACATTGTTGACTTTATTTGTTTATTTAATTTTTTTTTTACCTTTATTTTCTGTGACTGGTAAACGCTCTCCGATTAACTAATTGTTAAAATGTAATGCAACTGTTACCCACATATGAAAAACTATTTATTAAACTGTGACCAGTAATTCAGCATGACCGTAAATAAAGCCATTATAGTGGTCTGCAATCGGGGTTGCAGGAATCGAAAGATGTATTCATTGCTGCTCGTAAAGCTTAAGTAGTCTACCTGCAATCAATGCAAGTTCTCTCTGTGATAATTTAAATAATTTAGCATACAAAGCACATAGAAGGGAAAATATAGGTATCAAATATGGGTGTAAGATACAGCAAAGACTGGTATTAGAGCAAACGCTTGAGTACTCTTACCCATTGGGGAGACTGATAAACAGCAAGGAGTACTGTACACACGTGTACATGGATACGAGAATCACAGTAGCAGAATATTAGAGTGATATTACCTATTGTAAATGTTGTATGCAAATTATGTACAAAGGTTACAAAGAAGTAACTTGGGGGGAATAAGGATGTTCTTTGGCCAATTAGACTACATGTGCACATGTATTTGCAGTATTAATGCAAAATTCAAAAGTCTTCCATTAATTAAAGCCCTTCAGGGTGTCTTCTCAGAATCCTTCATTCATGACAAATACAATGAAACTCTGGTACATTGTTAGGTATAACTCTGGTACATTAACAAAGCAGGTGAAACCAAAAATCTCTTCCATCATAGTCCTTCAGGCCCTTTGGGGTGTCTTCCCGCTATCCTTCATTCATGACTGATAACTTGAAACCCTGGTGAATTGTTATCTCTGGTTCATGACTAAAGCAAGCGAAACAAAATCTCTTCCATCATGGCCCTTCAGGATGTCTTCCTGGAACCCCGCATCCATGAATAATGAAACAAAACTGTTTTCCCGAAATCCTTCATGAGTCACACACAAAAAAAAATCATGTAGTAAAAACAAGTGCCTTCCAAAAATCCTATACTCGTGACAAATAGTACATCACTCAGGTTTGTTATTAGCACAATCCTTCAATCTTGACAAAGGAAACCGAAACTTGGGTGCATTTCTTTCCAGAATCCTATAATCAAAACAAAACTCAGGTGCATACCGAACAAGTGTCCTGCTGGAATCCTCAAATTGTGAACAAAATGGCTCAAAACTCATATGCGCAGAAGGTGTTTTCCTGAAATCCTTCAATTGTGACAAATGATACAAATCAGGTGCATTGTTAGCACAGATACCTTCCTGGAATACTTCCATCATGTAAAGAGAACAAAACTTGGATGCCTAGTTAAGAACTGTCATTTCTGGAGTGCTACATTTACGAAATTGAAATGAAAATTATGTGCATACAGTAGTTAAGTCTTCCCGTAATCCTCAAGTCGCGGAAAAATTGAAAAAACAAAACTCACGTGCATAGTTGGTTTTTTTTCCCTAAAAGCCTTCAATTATGACAAATCAGGTGCATTGTTGGCACAAATTTTCTTCAATCATGAAAACAAAGAAGTCAGGTGGATGTTATTACAGTGAACAGAGATTTCTTCCATAAAGTTCCCCTCTAGCCTTTGAGGAAATGCGACACAAACCGCTTTTTTTGCTAAAGACTGATTCCACTGATTATCAATTCAAAACTGTGCTAAACCAACAATGATTGACATAATAATTGTCGCACTTGATTTTTAACATGACAGACATCTTTGACAGTTCTGCAGTCATTACCTTACAAAAAATGGGTTGACTCAAAAAGACCTTAAATGAAATTAGTTCATTAAAGAAGCATATACTACATGTATGTGACACAGAAATCATTGTTTAAAAAAAGGGCATTTGAAGCTGAAATACATGTTTGTACCAGGTACATGTACATAATATCCTTTTTTAAACTACCTGTACTGTTGATGTTCCAGTTTACACCTAATTGTTTGTCTTCTGAAAGAAAGAAGCTTTAAAAGATAATTATGCTTTTACAAAAACACATGATGGGATCGTGATAACACGCTCTCTCTAAGATGTCCAAGGGACAACTTACCATTCGAACTTGTGTGCCTGCATGTCACCACAAAAAACTGTTTATTCTGTTTTAACCAAAATTCCATTTCTCATACGTTAGATCTTATGTATTTCTAATAATGCCTAAAACCCACAACAAATTGGTCAAACGGATTCTGTTGATCTGCATTAAAAGTACACACCATAGCTTTTATTAATATCTAATCTCAGCAAAGAAGGTCACACAGGAACAAGAGCTGGTTTCCTGTTGACCTGCCTTGTGTCAAGAGCATTGTTATAACTTGCTGCTGTTTTGCCGGAAGAATAAGCAACTGGTTGAGTTGACTCCATATACACATAGTGGGTACTGCTTGACTGCTCAGAATGGATGAGGTATATGACAGCTGACAAGATAGAACAGAATACAGCAGAGATGCCCGCCGGCCACAAAGAGATACGAGGGTTTATAGCTTGAAGCGATGGTTCGGAAGACTTAATGTGGAAGATGTGGGATCCATATATACAGGCTTTCCATGCATTATTACCATGAAAAGGAAAACACACAAAGAGACAAGCGAAAGACTTTCCACAAAGAACGTTTAAATAATGGATAAAGAACTAAACAACACACCAAATAAGAGGTGAAAGTCATACAAAATCTTTACTGAAAAGTAAGGGCAGCACGACTGAGATGATTAGGGATGCCAGTTGGGTCTTGAAAGAAGGGTAGGTGGGCTCTGGAGATGATGAGGAAATCTATGATTTATCGGAATAAGTTCATACGACAGAATTGCAAGAGGCCAGAGCGATGTACAAGCAGAAGCACTCAGTGCAAGTGACGACCCTGAACTGTTTTCCGTTAGTCAGAAAGCTCTTTTTAAATATACATCAGTGACTTTATTGAATGGGAATGGGACGCATGAATGCAGCTTGGGGAACACACCCAAATTCCGATAGGGCTGAATAATAATTCACTATTCGAATATTTGACCTTCAATTTGATTGAATATCCAATTATTCGGTCGCACCGACTGGCACATTGTTGATGAACAAACCATATACAAAATCAGTTGCAATAACATACACAATTATACATTACGATCAATATAATAGCTTCTCACATCGAGGAGTATCTCTAGCCACGATTTGGCAAAATTGAAGAGATGAACAAGACTTCTTGCCCTGTTGAAAATTTCTATTCCGTTTGAATTGTTTAATGAATAATTTACTTTTTAAATCTTTGTAAGATTTCTGCCGCTTTTCTTTTGAATCTGCTTGAAACAAGCCTCGATAGTGTAACTCTAAAAATGCATTTTTGGAAATTGCCATTAGAAATACGTGCAAGCTTTGACACGACACACACGCACACTTGGTAATTATAATTCAGGCTTTCCCAGGCTATGAATTCAAATGCAGCTTTAAACAGGACTCAGCAACTTCTGATCTGAAATCAAAAATTCAGATACTATGTTATGATACGTTTTTCTCAGAATATGCAGTATTCACTGAGCCGCAAGTTCATGCGTCCTTCTTTAGATTTTGAGTAATTTTGTTGCCGCAAAGGAACATGATGCACAAATAGCAAGTGATGGACTCTGCCTACATGTATAAGTGTGTTACTGCTGGGACTGACTCTCACCACCTGAGAATCAGTTGCCCTGGACTCAAAGATTGTCTGTACCTTTGGCATACATGTAAATATACCTTATGTGTAACCACTGTAGCCTACATTGTGTTGGAATATGTGTATGTAAATAGTTAAGGAAGGGACTAGCCTGTCTCGTACCGGAGAGCCATTTTGGCACTACAAGTGAACAAGACAGAATTTACGTCTGGAAACGGCATGGATGGGAAGAACAACCGTAAACCATGAGCTGCTTGATTCAATAGCTCTGTATGTAGTGTATGTGTTCATGAACACACATGTCAAACGGGTCATGAACTTTGTAACTGGGCCAAGTGCCAAGGAAGAGGAGTTCATGTGACCGCTAAAACGGACGAAGTTTCGTACAGGCCGGAATGGCTTGCTCGGACTGGTGTGACTGTAGAAGAGCCGATATGCGAGAATTTTGTGAATCTTTCTTGGCGGTACCTGGAAGCGAAATGTGTTGGAGTCGACTATGAGCCCCAAGTTACTGAATAGTTTGGTGGGTGCCCCTAAACACTTTGTTTTGCTGGAGACAAATCTGTCCGCTACTGGTCATGAGGTTGCAAACAAATAGAAAGCCCGACTTCCGATCGAGAGACAAGATGAGATCACATGACCACCATTGTGCTGTTCTGATGGCAATAATGAACAAGGGGGCCTAATGATAGTTTTGTGAATAAACGGCAGGCACTGCTGAGACAGAAAGGGAGAATTGTTGAAGTATTGTACATGTATATTACGACTGGTTTTAACAGCTAAATAAAGCACGACGTTGCTCATTGCAATCTTGGTTTCGAATTGAGATTTATTGCGTAGTAAGGCATTGCATACACACTCTCATGGTTCAGTGGTTCGTTGCATAAAAGTGGGTGTAATTAATTACCTGACCATAACAGTGTATCTTTTGGCAGAATCGCTATGGAACCAGCCGTAGTGGCGGTATTTCTGATGAGGTGAGAATATGTACATGTACAGTATGTCAAGATGATGGTGATCAAACTCCAAATTGAATGAGAAGTTGTACAGGTTGAAATGGAGTGATGAGACAGTATGGCTAGTACTGACATGTATTTGAGCGTTTGAGATCTAGCACTTAGCGTAACTTTGCCTTCTGCACCTGTCATGAGGATTGCTTCAGTAGGACAGTCCAGTGCATTCTAGGGTGGGCCCCAATCGCCGAAAGAAAGACAGATGGTTACAACCGGGTTCTTGCATGCATTCTGAGTGGACGCAAAGACCATGCATTTCAGGATAAATTTGTTGCGTGTACTCTGCGTGCTCCGCATCAAATGCGCATATACTCACGCACCTGTGTGGTGAGTTGGTACCAAAAGGACCGTCAGTTTCATTTACAAGTACCCCCTCTTTTGTTCGCTCGGAGCGGATACATCCCTTTGTAATCAGGTCCTCAATTTTGTTTTCAACAAACTGACTACGTGTACATTCCAAAGTATTATGGTTTGGCAGAGGAAGGGTACTATGGAACGGCATTTTATATTTGCAGTGACCTTTTGAACAACTGGGCTCCACTTAATCCTGTTTCGCTAAAATGAGAAGCAAGGTTCGACCTTACCCTTTACGCCGGTTGGGACAGAAATGGTTGGTTCTTGTTTGGATGCTTCCCAGACCCTACATGTGTGCTGTGGCTGAGTTGGTGATTGAAGGCTGTGATTGGCACTGGGTCTGCAGGAGAAAGAGACCAAAGGGAAGGGCACTTGGTTCTAACGTGGCCAGCGATTGGCACTTGAGGCGGGTACTGGACTCTTGCCGGTATAGTTGTAGGGACAAAAGGAACAAAATGATTTTCTCTGCTATTTTGACCATTTTCTCTGCTTTCCAAAGTCATTTCTCATCATCAGAGTCATCTGCCAAGTCATTTGTGATGTATTCTTTTACCGTAGCCCAGCGTTGAGAGGAACCATCAGCCAGTGTAATCAATTTCTGGCCAGCTAAAGCTGGCTTGATTGAGAGCCTCTCAAGCTGCATTAAGGTGACCGCCCTCTGACGAGGCCAAGGCACAATCCATTAGCCTGGCAAGTTTTTTCCAGTGAAGGCACTGCTCCTTGCTGCCTTCACCTTTAAAGTCAGGACTGTCAGCAGTAGTCCGCTTTCTCTTGATGACCGACTCGAGGACGTTGCTGTCAATGGAGTTAGAGACAGAGATCCGATGACCTGAGGAATCCTTCGGTATAGGTTATCAGAATGGCGCGGAATCATGTCTAACAGCACACGATATCAAAAGTGGAAGAGAGGAGGGTGAGATTTGCTCTACCAAGAAAGAACCTGATGAGCCAACTTGGTGTTTGTATGAAGAATTGGTGCAAGAGTTCAATTGATCAAGTGTGCAAGGAATAAGGCGTCGCCACACCTGTCCTACGATAACCTCTCTACTTTCTGACTCCATTCTGTAGCAGTTTTGGGTCTCCATTGCTTTAGGTGTTTTGAGTTGCCTGGGTATTCATGTGCTCACTGTGGAGCACCAAAATTGATAACCTGTGTTTCTCATCTCCCAGGAGACTTTAAGGGTTTCAGAATTTGCGACAAGCATTTTCAAAAAACTCAATTTTCTGCTGGCAGAAACGTGGATTTTACTCGGACAATTCTTAAAGCACCCAAAAAGTGGACTACGTGAAACTTCAAATACTCACTGAAAAAATTACTGTGATGTCCTTTAAGTGGACAACCCAATATTCTCATTTTCTGCTGGTTGAGGTTTGTGTCTTCAAATGTGTCAAAATCCAAATTTCTAGTAGCAGAAAATTTAGTTGTTTGAAAATGGTTAATGTGAGTTCTGAAACCCTCAAAATCTACTTCCATAAAGAAAGAACAAATTGCACATGTGTCTTCCACTTTTAATGTTTCATACATGTGCAATAACGTGATGACGAAGGGTTGAAGTTAGCAGAGGTTCAAGTTTGCCAAAGTGTGAGTTAACAAGATTTTACTGTATTAAGAAAGCAGAAAATTGGTGTCTGGTTTGAATTGTACCTGGACTCGAAGCATTACTTTGGATCTCCCCTTATCTGCTCCAAGCGGGACAAAAAAGGGCGTTGTTTGGGTACTCACCGCATAGGCGTGCCACGAGGCACGCAAGTACATGTACATGTGCGTTTGATGCGGAGCATGCTGAGTATGCATAACTAATTTACTCCAGCGTGTATGGTTTTTGCGTAGACGCAGAACGCGTGTAAGAACCCGCTTGTAACCCCCCGTCTTTCTTTTTGCTGACTGGGGGTGCACTTCAGCTCGGGGCGGATAATCTCCCTGCTGTGTTTTTTTTGCTGTGAAGGATTCATGAAGGTGTAGCAACGGGCGAAAGGGAAACTTTATTTTTTTTTTTTATCCACAATCAAAGATACATACATGTTATTGCATTGCTCGTTTCCTCTGCTTCGCCCTCAGGTTGACAAGAAAAACTACCTGCATAGACATCTGTAGAAGGAGTGCTCTGCCCATACAACTGGAACGAGAATTCCTGGACTTGTCCAGAAGGTAAGATTTTTCATGCAAGTAGTACTAAATGTTTTTTCGGCCAATTTCAAGAGGTCTTTTGGTTCACTTTGGTGCATGTTTTTGACTGAAATGAAACTAAAATGAGCAATCCGTTGATATCGTGATTTCATTAGTTCCATCGATCCACTTTCATAATGTGAGCATTCCAAAAAGGATTTGCCCGGAATACCTACAATCACATGTAGGAATGAGTACACACTGAAAAGCCAGCCAGTTCATAGTCAGTAGCCAGCGGATCGTCACTCTCCTATGTTTCCCCTGTAGGTTTTCCTGGCCCAATTCGTCTTCTTCACAGTCAAATTCCTTATTGTTCATTCGTATTGCAACAATTTTTTTTCACAGGCTGGTTGCTTTTATGTTTCGTTTTCATACAGTACGGCTTTCAAATTCGTTTACAGGCGTCGAATAGTGCTTTGTAACAAATTCAATTTAGAGCTAATTTCATTCGGTTGAAGAGTGCGGTTTTGCGCTGGATGACTGGAGTGAGAAATTCCTCCCAAATTTCACTTTCGTTTTCGTCTATTGGCAATCATGTTTGCATTTTGAGCCTTCAAAGTGACAAACTTCAAGGTGAGGGGAATATACTTCAAATTAAGATGCATATAGAGCAGAAAGGGAGATTACAAATAGAAGACACGCGAGGAGTGTGTCCCACGTATTGACTTGAGTGCATATTTGTTCTATATCTCAAACAAATTACCCATCAAGAATACAGTCCATTTGCTCTAATTCTGAATGCCTGTTTCATCAAATGTAGAAATGAAACGTTTCCCTGGACCTTCATCAAGGATGCTCACAGAAAACTCCTTTAGATGCAGTTTACTGATTTGTAACTGCTTTATTTTATATACACAAGACACACAGTATACTCGCTCTTCATAAATGTGCATGTCCTGTACATGTATACTAAGATTTTTCGGATTATATTAAACGATGGCTTGTTTTCTTTTTTTTGTCACATTTTTTAAAGTCATGTTTTGCTTTCGAGTTTCATTCTATTTTTCTCATCCTTTTTAGAGATTTGCCCACTTTGTCCATTTTTTTATATAAATACTTTTACCTCGCTGTTATTTATTCTTTTCATAACAATTCAAACAGAAACAAAATATGAATTAGCAAATTATCAGTCGTTATTTTTATAGAGATCTCTACCTGTGAACCAAACATTTCTTTTCATGGAATATTTTGCATAAACTAGTCACAAAGAAAAAACAAAGATTTAATGTAAAATTGCATTGCCCGAACCTCACATATGCTTACCGATTCACGAAACTGAATGCCAACACACATACCGTGGGAGTGTTCGCGCGAATTTCAATGCTTTTGCGTGTGTTCCCAAATTGAATGCCGACCCTTCGTGTTTTGACTAACAAGATTGTGCCATCGCATGCTCATAGATTGAAACTGAATGATCAGTTCTGCTCTTTGAATGGTGATCTACATGTAGATCGGCAGTCTATTTCGTGCTCATTGGAATGACACTGTCGCTAATTCATGTGCAAAGATGAAGAATTCAGCCAGGAAAGTCTGTATTTATGTCTGGCAATGAAACCAACTATTCCTTGACCACACCCCACTGTACTGTCACATGCATGTACCTATACAAGCCTTAAGAAATGTGTTGAGAGAATGAGACAAACAAACCTTCAGTTCTGGAGGTTGGAGGGAAAACCCTGGATACTTGGAGGCATGTGGCCTAGTGGTTAGGGTTTCTACCTTCTGATCATAGGGTCAGGGGTTCGAATCCAGCTGGTGGCAGCATGTTGTGATCCTGGGCAGGTCACTTTACCCTACGGTGCCTCTCTCCACCCAGGAGTAAATGGGTACCTGTGAGGGCAGATATTGTAGTTTAGCCGTTTGCGCCAAAATGGCAGCACCGGGCTAGTATACTCCCCAGGGAGCTGAGATGGTTTCAGGAATGTTCAGATGATGTGCGAGTCCAATGTGCAGGGATAATGATAATACAGCGCCTCGGAATGGTTTGCTAGATAGAGGGCGCTTTACAGGTGCTTGTTATTATTTTTATTATTACTTGTCAAGATTCTGGTTAAAGCCCATGGAATTGGATAAGGGCTCAAATCCAGTTGCTCTTGCTGGCTTGGGCTGGAATCGAACCCGAGTCACCGTTGGTTGGCACTTATTACACTTAAAATTGTGCTGATGGACAATATTTCTGAATGATTTTGCAACTGGTAAAAAGATTGTCTGTGATTCAAGAATATGACAGGTTTGAACAAATATGAGCCGTTTGTTAATTATGAATTTTGGGGGTTCGTACTTCCTGAAGTAAGCAGTCTTACATTAACCAACCCCAGTCCCTCAAAGTCCCAAGTGTAAGTTTGGTCAAGTTTCGACTGATTCATCGCCACACGTTATGAACTTGTTGTTCAGCTGTGTTGGATTGAGGAAGAAAGCCCTGGGGTGATGGTGTTGGATTTTGTTGGAGCGGTGGCGCCGGTGACTCAGTGCCGTGGTTGCTTCATGGTACCATACGTTTGACTGCGCTTATTGTGTCAGGTTTGGCACCATTCAGCACTGCAAGTCACTCGTATGCTGGAGAGATCTCTATCCATACCAAATGACTCTGATGACTCAAATGACTTTAACACTGATGACCTACATGTATATAGTGATGGGTTGAACAGATTCTGTCCAGTTGCTTGCCAATAATTACACCGATCCCCTTGTAGATTCAAGTTGTATCTGTTGAACCGTGTTAGGTTCAGTACTGTGTCTAGTACCTAAGGCTCAGGCAGCGAAAGGTTACTTCACACTGTTTGATGAATTTGGGAGGGGGGGACCTGATGTCTTGAGCACCAACGATTGTGCCCATATTTCAATATTGATCAGAGTTAAATGATTAAAGTCTTAAACATCAGCATGCTGGGCAGACATGAACACCCTACTAACCACCATGTGATTGCCGCAGTAATTTTGTTTTAGACAATCCTTTGAACAATATGCCATATTATGAAATTGCAATATGTAATATCTAAACATTTCCTGCCAGTATTTCCACACACCCAAACAAAAGGACGGACAAATATTAGTTAGTTACTGTCGCAGTCTTGCACCATCTACGTGTGTTTTTATATGTAAACTCTTGATCATTACATGTAACTCAAAATTGGATTACTCCCAACACCGTTTATCTTAAAGTCACACTTCGTCCTTGTCAAGAGGAAAGGATATTTTGTACCTGAATATATCCCAGTGTAGCTTGAAATTCCCACATCGTATCTTTGAGTTGAAGTTTTGTTGGCCAAGATGACACTTAAGGATGGGACATTTACACGGTTAAACGAAAAAGTTCCAAATCCGTTTACAGATTTTCATAGCTAAGCCATTTGACCTTTCCAAAACCTGCTTCATAATGATTTGGATATATCTTGTTTTAGGCTTTTTGCAAATCTTGCATGCTTGAAAGTGAAAGGAAGCTGCTAGCCATCCACTGTCACTGTTGATGAGCATTTCACATCTGTCATGCCTGCCGATTAAAATTACATGCATGTGACATGATTTCAGTCAGAGAAACTTGTCTTTCAATCATAGTGTCATGAACATCTGCTTTAGTTACATGTAAAAGGATTAAAGATAGGCACTGCTGTTCAAAATGTAAGGAATATGTAGATCCCTGCACATCACAAGAAGTATTCAAAGGTGAAAGCGGATAAATTGGTCGATGCATACATGTACAGTCCATGTTTAATATTCCAAGCACTTGGTATCACCTGTCATGTATTACGATGAGCCAGCCGCTATCTGTGTACACGGGCATGGTCACAAGATGATACTTTGCACTTCACTGTGAATGAATAAAATGGAAAATCCACCCACAGAAAAAAAATGATCTTGGTTTTTGGCCGAGCAGCAGAAATTTCCATTAGAATGTTCTGATAATTTTGATCTTTTGGGCGATCTTTTCTTGGATTGGATATGAATGTAGCTTGCTCCTCAAAAGATGAACCAACCCGCAACTCTATCTGTCGTCTTCCAAACTTGCACCTTCAAATTTATAAAAATTACCATTTGGGGATAAGTAGGCAGGCTGCATGTAGTGTGTGGACAAAAATTGCTTGGCTACCAGTGCAAATCAAAGGGAGTTGGACTCCTTTAAAGTTTTAAGTCCAAATATTTGTACCAGATTACTTGAAACCCAAACTTCTGTCAACAACAACGACAATTCAGTTTAATTTCAACCGATGTAATTTAAAGCCCCTCAGAAAGCCCTCAAAAGAGAATGAAAATTATTAAAATTGACAGAAAATTATTAGAAAGTCTGCCTCTCTTCATTCTCTAATTGTTTCAAATCACTCCAACAATATCCAGCATATTTGCCAGGTCTCATCCCTTTCAGCCACTGAAAATAACCTGTAAGTTTGGCTTCATCAGTAGTATACATTATGCGTGCAATACGTTTGTTTATTTTGATGTAAAAGTGCACAATATTTAACAAGATTGAGAATGCTATTTTTTGTCGCATTACCACTCTCCACACATGATGATCATAGGGCCTGAAAGTTGACCCCTGATGGTGCGCATCCGGAACCCTTGGATCGGAAAAATAACGTGTACAGATTTTAGAATTTGTAATATTTTTCATTCAGTTTCTTCTTAAAATCTCAACTTGTAAAAAAGCCTTTTGTAAAATATTTGCTAGCATATCCATTTATAGAAATTGAAACATTACCTGACCTAAAAGAGAAATATCCTGCTTCCGAAAATATAAAATACATGAAGAATGGCCCAATGCAGTGGTCTCATACACAGATGAACAGTTACGGAATTATACTTTAAAGTAGTCTTTGGGTATTAACTATTACTAAAATAGCCAAAATAAAAATGGACCAATATATTTTGAGGAATTTGTAATTTATAAGGAAATAAACTTAAAACAATATTCCGCTTTTATCTTTTAATCAAACCTTTGCTGACAAGAACTGTGTCAGGTCAAGTTGACTGAATCTAGAACCCATCCACTGCATGAAAGTAGATCTTCACAACATTGTACAATTTTGTTTTCAAGTAAGCACGGGGAATGAAAACAAACGTGCACGAACAAGGAGACCTGGAAACGGTAGTACCGGAAGTGAAAGGTTGTTAATGAAATTTGCTTTTATCCCATCTCCGGGTGACTTTCCCAAAATATTATTTGAGGAGGACACAGTGTTTCTGAGGGTGGTTTCATTTAGAAATCATTCTTCCCAAAATTATTGAACGTGATAGGACGGGCCCATGTTTGCCACATGACCTTTTTTTTTCAGGCGCTTTTATGCTGCTAGTTTTGGAGATATCCCCGCTCAAAATGACATCAAATTTAAAAACTCAGGGTATTTGATTTCCAGCACAAACTGCAATTTACATCTCGAGTGGTTTTCTTTTTTAGAACATTATTTAGTTTGACAAATTTTCTGTTGACAAACCTCAGTACGAAGAGAAATATCTCGAAGGGTTGCACGTCCCTAAAGGGGCTCATAAATACTGTATACAAACAGCCCATAAGGCACTAAAACATTTCTGAAATGTCACCATAAAACAGTGATGAATGTCTGAAAGTCCTTTTCATCAGTGCTTTGGACCTGGGTTTATCAAAATATACCGCACTTGATCAATATGCGATAGTTCAAGTTTTGAATGGATGATGGTCTGGGATCCTTTCTTGGATCCTTTTAAGCTCCTGTTTTTACTTGATTTTACTTGCTGGTTTTTAATTGGAATGACATTCAAAGCTGCTGACTGCAGGACCTGATAATCTGTGAGACATCTCTTTTCATTGGTGCTTATGGTTTGCAATATGTAACTATTATCATCTTTCACCACTTACGAATCTGTTCAAAAATTGTAGCAGGAATTTCACTATTACATGTATACTTGCTGTTTTAATTACCAGGTGGCTAGGATTTACAGGCTTTTCATGTCCGTCAAAAAAGCCGACGGACTAGACTGCAAAGTATTTCTTAATAGGATGAAGATCCTTGGTGTTCCAGTCACGACTCCCCTCATTTCATCCAACATTGGGAATTAATTCAGTGCCGTTCACTTCAGGAAACAAGGACCCCTCTAAGTTCATTGTTGTGTAATGGCTCACATTTTGTACAATCTGCTGTATATCAGGTGTTCAATGGGTACCGGTCATGCTCTGTGCTCAGTGTGGTGCAGTCGAATGACTTCAGATAGCGGACTAAAACTGCAACACAGCTGTGCAAGGGTTGTAAAAGGAGAATTAAAAACTCTCACAATTTTTATGGCAATAAAATTTAATATTGTAGTGTTTTTTGGCAGTAATTGTGATTGTAACAATTTGGCATCTGCACAGCCTTCATAACATTCGGGAACTAAATTATGATCCGATATCCAAACCTCATTTTTCTTTTGGCAAAGAGACCACATTGATCGCATGCGAATAAAACTGAAATTACTTTTTACGTTTGAGTTAAGGTTTCTATGTGCCGATCCAGACTCTTGGCCCTGTCATATTCAGCTAAATCGACTTTATATGCACCCTGATCAAACATTTCTGAATTTCTTGGGGGGGGGGCAAAATGAAGGAAACTCAAGTTTTAGTCTATATACAGGTGTCGTGTCACTTTTTGGCACCCAGAAAATGCTAAAAGTAAGTAGCATCTTTGAAGATTTATAAATTCTTGTCTAGGCTGATCTGGGTTTTATTAAATATACACTCAGATTTAAGGATGTCTGAGCAGGGTGGAATATTATTCTGGATTTCCTTCAGTTTTCCTGCTGAGGTGCACTTTGGAAAGATCCACAAAGGTGCAGCACAGGCTTCAGGGTGTAGCTTATTTCTTGTCCACCATGAAATTATCAATAATCACGCAAGTTTTTTATTTTTATTTTCCCTCAGGTTGATGGAGACACCGCCTTCATAGACGCCCTCTGAAGGGTTGGCCCTGTCCACGTTGAACAAGAGTTCTTGGGCTTTTCAAAAAAGTAAGTTTCTTCATTCGAATAAGAGCACATGATTTTCTGGCCAATTTCAAGAGGTTTTGTTCACTCCAGTGTGTATTTCTGACTCCTCACTCCACTCCTTATGTTAGCTGCCGTTGTTGAGCTCCGAACCCGGGTCACAGGGTTGTAGGATGAGATGGGTACCATTCTCCAATCTGGCTTCCTGGAAGCTCGGACTCACTGGTTCCACAAAAATAAAATGTGCAGTGCCACTGTACTGAACACTGGTGCATGTACACTGAACCATCAGGTGCTTACTGGTATGTACATGTATGTACACTAGACATTGCCCTTAGCTTTCAAATGTTCCATACACTTTTACCACATATCGAAAATGTGCTTAAAATAAAAGAAATATATTCAGGACTGATGACAGCAACTGATTGAGGAAAACCTTGCAAAGGAACACCAGAAACATGAAGTATGGCCAGTGTCATTGTGGACAATGTACATTCATGCGCAGTGGTCGTGTAAACCAACTGCCAAGTACCGTGCAACATGGGCAACTCTTACGCGGAAACGCTGGGTTTTTTCCCCACTGCAAAGACAAGGATTTTGACCTCCCAAAATTAAAACAAAATACATACGTACGTGTAGAAAACTTAGCTTTTGTGACTCACCTCAAAAAGATTCATCAGATACTCCGCAGTTTAAATTTTTTCAACAATTCTTGCCTGAGCCGACATTTCTTACATATAGGTTGCCAACTTCATTGGTTATTGGTCCATCTATTCATAGTTCCAATGTACATACTATGTATCACGTGAACCTTTTAAGCAATGACTCCAGGAAATTTGATTTCACTTCGCGATTGGAGTTTTAGTGGACACTGCCCAAAACGTAGATGGAGGGAAGAGAACAGTTTTGGTGAGACTTGAGGAACATTTTCAATCTTCGTGCACAAAACAGGGCGGGCCGGCAAACGTTTGAGCAGGCCAGAGCTGGGAACAGGTGCATCAGCAGCTGAAAACAGATCACTACACATATTCCGAAATTTGTGTCCTTGTGGAGACACGGCTTTGTTCGCCAGTACTAATTCGGTCGCGTGTGAAACGATGTTTTCAAAATGCTCCCATTTCAACGTGAATCACTCTCCTGGGCTGAAGGTTAGACCGGATGTCCCTCATTTGAAACACTTCAATTTGCGACAGATTCTTACACTTAAGAAAAAAATTGATCCTTTTTGAGCGATTATCAGTTTCACGAAATCCTTGAGGAGACCTCTTCACCTTTAGAAATTCCTTGTGGAGACCTATTCAACCAATTTTCCTGGGTCTCCACAAGGCACCATATACATATACATGTATACCAAAATGCTGAGTTACCGCTGTACAGAGCAGTCTGTGTTGACCCCATTGTGTTCATTTCATCAGCATTGTACCGTACTGAGAGGTGTTCTCCTCTTTTGCACATTGTAAAAAAAGAAAAAGGAAGATTTCAGGTCACTATACGTGTAGTCGAGACAAATGCAAATTTATAGTACTGGCCTAGGTACATGTATTGGTAGTTGGGCTATTATAACAAACATTGTTTGGCTATTTTGTGATTTTTTGCCTCCAATCTCACCCCTAAAAAAAATTGGTCTGAAAATCTTGTGCTTCATTTCAAGTCAGCCAGGAGGCTACATGTACGTGATATCTATGGAAGGTGTCAGTTATTTTTACTTTGGGGAAAAAATTGGTTCCGTTCACTTTTTTTTTCACCTTTCTTCCAGTTATTTTTTACCTGTTTGCTTTTGTTGGAAAATTTTCCCCTTTTCTCTCCAACTTCCTCACGTACACACCCACCACCCAACCTACCAAAATGTATTCTTATGTAGTTATCAGCACCTTACAGCATTCACGGTTGCCAAATGCTGTGAACTGCAAAAGTTATGGAAAGTAGGGGTTTGCTGGCAGAATTGAGCATGTACACTATGTTTTTTATCCTCCCAGAAAGGTAATTTTTGCTTGCGTTCAGAATTTTTTGTTTCTTTCTGACCCTTTTTAAAAATTTTTTTTCCTTTTCATTCCAACTTGCTCACTTACTCGCCCACCACCCATCCCGCCAAAATGTTTTTTGATATGGTTATCTGCACCTTGCAGCATTCACGGTTGCCAAATGCTGTCAACTTCAAAAGTAAGGGTTTGCTGGCAGAATTGAGCATGTCCAGTGACCTTTTCCACCACTCAAATTCAAATTTGACCTGCATGGCTAATGAGGGCTGTCAAGCTGCTTGCAGATAATGCTTGAGCAATGCCCTTGCTTCTGGTCCATGGCTTGTTACATAATAAGACCTAGCCAGGTCTTCAATAGTGAAAAAGCAGCATCCAAAAAGCCAGCACATTTCTGTAGTGTATCATGGAGGAAGGAAATGTATATGTATCCCAATATGTACCTGATGTTTGATCTGAAGTGTGCAGATAAGAAAAGCTTAAACACTGACAAATTGCCTTCCCGGTTTGTATCTAGGTTTTCAAATTACATGTACATGCATTTCAAATGTAAATCTTAAGTATTATATACTTCGTGTCTTTAATGAAAGTTAAAAAAGAACCAAATTGTGTGGACAAGTTTTACATCTGGTTGTGATTGCATACTTCATTCTCAAAACATTTTGTACATGAATTTCTTTATTTTTTAATTGCTTTTTAGAACTCCAAGAGTGCCTAGCACAGCCACAGCAGTCTACCATCATTATCAGTGGCCATCAACGGAGGTCCAGGAACCAGATGAGGTCAGCGTACACCTGCTCCACTTCGCTGCTGGTGGCCATTAGGGAACACAATGCAGGTTGGTGGGCTGCATCAATGTTACATTGGTTGTACTTGTGACCGGTGGAGCAATGAATTCAGGAAGGTCAGAAAGGGGTGAGTTGTTATCAAGTCGTTTTCTTCTTGTTTCAAGAATGTTTCATGTCACTTCATACATGTACATGTAGATGCAAGGATCCATTTGGATGTTGGTTAATTTTCAAAAGCACCACCAAATAAGCCGCAGCAGCAATTCCTATAAGAAAAAGAGGGAAATTTGTCAGTTTCTGTTGTCAGTTTCTACCATTTTCAAATCTTTGCATTGCAGACATTGGCTGCTTTTAACATAACCCACCAAAATTTGGCAGTAGAAAAACACAAAGCGCTCTATGAATTGTCAATTTATTTGGGTCATTTTATTCTCTAGCGCTGCAAACATGTACATGTGTGATTTACGGTTGTCGAATCTCAGGGTTTTTTTGGTCAGTTCAAGTCAAAGTCGTAGCAAAGTCACAAGCCAAGCTTTATGTTGGTGTGTCTTTACTTCAAGTGTTTAGAGTAAACAGGTAATGTTGAACTTCAAGGAATACACTGACCTGTAAAGTTCAGAGGGGACGGAATTTCCTCTGGTCATTGGATTTTGTTGATGAGGTCCTATTTAACCACTTGCCTCCGGGCTTTCTGGAACTGGGCACCTTGGGTTTGTATGCCAATATTGGGAACAAAGGAAATTATGCAACACCGCGCAATCTGGGCTCTTTTTACTAGGCAGCAGGCCTGGCTGAAAAACTTTGACGTTAATGGAGGTTGCCTGTCAGATTAGAGTAGCCACCAGACAGTCATTCGTGTGGGTGTAAGCGTCTAGTGAATTGAAGTTATGAATTTTTGAAGAACTTTGAAACTCTTGAAAATCCCCTGGGAAATCATCCCACACAATTTTTAGGGCTCAACATTCAATGTTTTACTTTGTCAAAAGTCAACCAAGACATCAGTGATTAAGTCATGTCCCTCAAATCGTGTTCCTTGTATCACCAACGTTTTAAAAGAAAAATGTTTATGACAGCTGATCAGTGCAATAAGTTATAACTGTAATTACATGTGCATTGCTTAAATTTACATCCAATTTTTTAAAGGATTTGGACATTCAATGTTGCACAAAATTAGGGCTTCAACAAAATCCAGTGATAAGAGGAAAAGGAAACATAGATAATTGGATTTCTTGAAGTTTGGCATTAGCTGTTTACTGTAAACACTTGAATTAAAACACACCAACATAAGGCTTGACTTTTAACTTTGTTATGGTATGAAGCGTGATTTGGAAAAGACAAAAAGAACTGATATTTGACCTCCACAGTGACATGAAACGTTCTCGAGACTCGAAGTAAATGACAAGATAATAACTCTTCCCCTTTTTGTCTTCCTTAATTCATTGTTCCTCCTGTAGCAAGCACCACCAGTGCAACAATGATGCTCCCCCAACTTGTGTTGTGTTCCCAATGGTCACTGTTGGGGATGTGCGCGGCAGGGGTGGGACACGCGCGGCAGGGGGCGTGTCGCGCCGCGTGGGGGTGGGTCGCGCGGCGTGGGGAGGGGTCGCGCCGCGTGGGGGTGGGTCGCGCCGCGCGCGGCGTGGGGAGGGGTCGCGCCGCGTGGGGGGGGGTCGCGCCGCGTGGGGAGGGGTCGCGCCGCGTGGGGAGGGGTCGCGCCGCGTGGGGAGGGGTCGCGCCGCGTGGGGAAGGTTGTGCCGCGTTGGGAGGGGTCGCACCGCATGGGGAGGGGTCGCGCTGTGTGGGGGTGGGTCTGGATATATACAAAAGAAAAAACTTTTTTTGTTACTGATTTATTTCTGTATCAGTTTATTTTTTTAGAAAACAAATGATCCCTCCCCCACTGCACGCACCCCTTCCCGCACCGCGTGCGTCCCTACCCGCTGCGCGTCCCTTCCCCTGCCGCGCGTGTCCCACCCCCGCTGCATGTGTCCCACCCCCACTGCGTGCGTCCCACCCCCGCTGCGCGTCCCTACCCGCTGCGCATCCCTCCCCCTGCCGCGCGTG